ATAAGTCGCCGGTGGTGCTTTTCCTCCCTCTAATGGATCTACTCGATACTCCTAAATCTCGAGTATGTTTATTTGTAGTCAAGCAGAATTTTTTGTTTTCCTTCAGAATCAGTAGTTGTCAGTTTGATGTGAAAACTGACTTTTCTGGTGTTTTCAGGTAGTATGTGCCGTGCTGCAGCTGATAAACGAAATTATTAAAGATAACACTGACTTCCAGGAAAATGCTTGTCTTGTTGGCCTCGTAAGTTTTACCTTCCATTTGGTTGCTGACTTTATGTATTTGGGAGGATTTGGCCAATTTATTATATTAAAGGCTCGCGTCCTCCATTTTCGATCTTAAATGTCAAACAGCATTTAAATCCATGGTGTCCTTATCCCATCACTTAAATTTTCATGATGTTTTGTGGAATCCCATGAAATTGATTATTCCAAGTAAAATGGCAGATTCCTGTGGTAATGAGTTTTGCTGGTCCTGAGAGGGAACGTTCTCGAGAAATTCGTAAGGAAGCAGCTTACTTCTTGCAGCAACTTTGTCAATCAAGGTTATAATAGTAATCAAATATTTATTACTTTGCTTCTTATTTTTTTCTGGAAGTCATAGAATTGATTTGCTACCTTCTTCACAGCTCCTTAACGTTGCAAATGTTCATAGCTTGCCGTGGAATACCAGTATTGGTTGGATTTCTTGAAGCAGATTATGCCAAATACAGGTGGGTACTGCCTACCATCTTCTTGTGGTGTTTGGACATATCAAGTGCAGAAATTAATGTGAGATTTATCGAGTGTTTCATCATAAGGACTTGGAATTTTTCCATACTCGGTGATGCCTACGTTTATTAGAAGTTCCAGCAGCATCTGATTTCGTATTTGAATCTGTCTCCTGCCTAATTTGTGGTGTGTTCGTGCTCTACTGAAAACGGCGGATACATTGCTCAATAGCTGGCCATTTTCTTCATTTAGCTCTTTATTGTACATCAATTTTGGTCCTTTTCGTTTTTTAAGGGCTACTAAATTCTACTGATTTGAGCTTTTCTGTTCAGGGAGATGGTCCATTTAGCTATTGATGGGATGTGGCAGGTATTCAAACTCAAAAAGTCCACCCCGAGAAATGATTTCTGCCGTATAGCTGCAAAGAATGGAATTCTTCTTAGGCTAATCAACACTCTTTATAGCTTGAATGAGGCAACCCGACTGGCTTCTATATCAGGGGGCCCACTGAGTATGGATGGTCTAGCTCCACGTGCACGCTCTGGTCAACTTGACCCTAACAATCCTATTTTTAGTCAGCATGAGACTTCACTCAGTGTGATTGATCAGCCTGATGTGTTGAAAACTAGGCATGGGGTTGGTGAAGAGCCTTCTCATGCTTCAACTTCAAATTCTCAGAGATCAGATATCCATCAACCAGATGCCTTGCACCTAGATAGTGATAGGCCTAGATTGAGCAGTGTTGCAGTAGATGCCTCTACGTCCGGCACAGAAGATGTTAGACAACAGCATCGGTTATCTCTCTCCGCCAATAGGACATCGACAGATAAGCTTCAGAAGCTGGCGGAGGGTTCCTCTAATGGAATCCCTGTTACACAGCCAGAACAAGTTCGACCTTTGCTTAGCTTGTTGGAGAAAGAACCCCCTTCAAGACATTTTTCTGGTCAACTGGATTATGTAAAGCACATTACTGGCATAGAGAGACATGAAAGTAGACTTCCTCTTTTGCATGGATCAAACGAAAAGAAAACCAACGGAGACCTAGATTTTCTGATGGCCGAATTTGCAGGTAAATTTCGAAGTTGTGTATTTAGCAAAGACTGTTCATATTGTAGGCACATATATGACTTTTTGGTTGCGCCTATCATTATATTGTTTCTTCAGAGGTTTCTGGTCGTGGAAAGGAAAATGGAAATCTTGATACGACGCCTAGATATCCCAGTAAAACAATGGCAAAGAAGGTTGTGGCTATTGAAGGAGCCGCTTCTACCTCTGGGATTGCATCTCAGACAGCATCTGGAGTACTATCAGGTTCGGGTGTTCTAAATGCTAGACCTGGAAGTGCCACATCATCTGGTTTACTTGCCCATATGGTCTCTACGCTGAGTGCAGATGTCGCAAGGGAATACTTGGAGAAAGTGGCTGATCTGCTTCTTGAATTTGCGCGAGCTGATACAACAGTAAAATCATACATGTGCAGCCAAAGCTTACTCAGTCGTCTTTTCCAGATGTTCAACCGTGTAGAACCTCCTATTCTGTTAAAGGTACTTGGGAATATTTTCAAGTTTCATTTTCTTATTTCGCTCTGACTGAGCTTGGATATGTGGTTTAGAGGATCTTGAGGTCGCATGCTTACACTGCCTTTCATTTGTCTAGATACTGGAGTGCACCAATCATTTATCAACTGATCCAAATTGCTTGGAGAATCTTCAGCGTGCAGATGCAATTAAGCATTTGATCCCCAACCTTGAGCTTAAAGATGGGAATCTTGTTTATCAGATCCATCACGAGGTTACCTTCTTGACTTACATAGAGATAGCTTTCATCTGTTGGTTAAAAATTGTTTTCCAGTCTGCTATTTGAAAGACTGAAGTTTGGATTACTAAACCTTAAATCTTTGTAGGTGCTTAGTGCGCTATTCAACCTGTGCAAGATAAACAAGAGGAGGCAGGAACAAGCGGCTGAAAACGGAATCATACCGCACCTGATGCTTTTCATCATGTCGGATTCTCCTCTAAAACAATATGCATTGCCACTTCTATGTGATATGGCTCATGCATCTCGGAATTCAAGAGAGCAGCTAAGAGCACACGGCGGTCTGGATGTTTACCTGAGTTTGCTGGATGATGAATACTGGTCCGTGATAGCCTTAGATTCAATTGCTGTTTGCTTGGCTCAAGACAATGACAACAACCACAAGGTGGAGCAGGCGTTGCTCAAGAATGATGCAATTCAGAAATTAGTTAACTTCTTCCAGAGCTGCCCAGAGAGACACTTTGTTCACATATTGGAGCCGTTCTTGAAGATTATTACGTATGTATCTCCCCTCTTTATAATAGATCTTTCCAAAAGTGTTCTGATACGAGACAAATAAAGCTAAAGTTTCTTTTAGTCTAATCATTCTCATCCTTAAATCCAGGAAATCATCTCGGATCAACAAGACGTTAGCTGTAAATGGATTGACTCCGTTGCTTATTTCAAGGCTAGACCACCAAGATGCAATTGCTCGACTTAATCTCCTGAAACTCATCAAGGTTCGTGAATCCTCAAAATATCATCCAAGTTCTTGCTTGTCGTATTATTTTTTTTCTGGGTGTTAAGTGTTTGGCGTGCTCTGAAACAGGCTGTTTACGAGCACCATCCAAAGCCAAAACAGCTGATCGTAGAGAACGACCTCCCTCAAAAACTGCAGAATCTGATAGAAGAACGACGTGATGGACAACGTTCAGGAGGCCAAGTTCTGGTGAAGCAGATGGCAACATCTCTCCTCAAAGCACTTCACATCAACACAGTCTTGTGAGCGAGTCCCACAACAAAAATTATATCCCTTGGGTTCTGTTGTACATTTACTCCCATTTTTCCAAGAAGAATTCACCCCCCAAAGTGTATATCTTCTTCTTCCTTTTCATTTACCAAATGTTTGTTTGAAACTTAAAAAGATTTTTAATTGTTGGGTTCTGTAGTGTGGGTCTCTTGTATTTTTTTTCTTCCAAGTCCCCCAACACTTCGGGCTTTTGTAATATATTGATTCAACTTAGTAAATTTTTTTAAGACTTTAGTTTATTGATACTTTGATTTCAACTTCCATTACTTCGGATCCTCTGAATACCAAGTGTTTTTTTCACGACGTTTACACACTTGGATATATAAACTCGATCTTGAGATTATACGATAATTCCTTAAGCTTGATTCCACACCGTTAGATAAAATTTTACGAGTTGTTGGTATAGATCATTTGCTTTGCTGAATATAAGCTTATACCATATAATTCCTTGAGCTTGATTCCACACTCTTTTAACTTCTTGGTATAGATCATTTGCTTTGCTGAATATAATTTTCAGAGATGAAGGTCCAATTGAAGCTCATGCATTATCTCATTGCTCATATAGTCTTCTAAAAAAAACTCCATATCAATGCGTGATAAGCATTGAATTCTCCACTCATAGCCGAACTTTCAACAAGGAGGAAACTTCATGATTTTTGAGCCAAAGGCCAGGGACACAGATGTTGAAACTTCAAAAATTTGCGCACAATTCCATGTTTAACGACTAAACAACATATAAGCCGGGGAAAAAAACGATATAACAAAAAAACCGGGAAGATACAAATGACACAAATAACAGATAAGTTTTGCCAAAATAAATGTGATCCTATAACATTGGAGCGTATCTCTACAGTTAACACATAACAGAGACTACTCAAGCAGATAGGATCTTCCTTTGTTTTGATTTACGCACAAATAAAATCCTCGAAACTTCACTTAGAATGAATCTAATAGCTTCGAAGAAGAACTATGTGCGATCCAACTAAAAAAATCACGAAAAAAATCTCAATTTATAAGAAAAAAGAAATCAAACTACAGACCTTAGAGAATTATTAAAACATCGTCAATGCCGAACATTCAGAAAACAAAAACAATTAAAGAGAAGGTGCTCAGATTTTTTTATGAATGGTTGGGAAGTATTTCTCCTCAATAAAAATTTCAGATTAACGAGATTTATAAACCCATCATCACTGCACCCATTGTTCCACAGTTTAGCCAACAAAAATCAAAACAATTCAAACGAAATTAATTGAATCAAAGGAAGAAGAAGAAACAGCTCTCAATTAGGGTTTGCTAAGGAACACCGTATTTATAAGTCTCGCGTTAGGTCTCCACGTCGTTTACTCAATGCGATGGGCCTTGGGCCTTTACTTCTGGGCCAGAGTCTAAAGTCTAAACGTGAGAAAAATCCTTAGACGTTTTTGAATTAAGACATTGTGCCAAGTGATATGGTATGTTTAGATGTATCAGAAAAAGGTTACTGCATGTTGGTTGATATGTTCGAACGGCAAAGCCAAAAATATATGTCCGGAACAACATCTCCGCTAATGTAACGATTTCCACTTAATTATAAACCTAATTGAAAAAATAAACACAAATGACACCTTCATTTGTGTCTGCCGATTGTAAACGCAAAATAATTAAGTTTGAAACACTTGAGGACTAAATTTTGGTTTTATCTAGAGATAATTAAAGATATTGTTATGCCATTCGTGACAAAAGAAAAACAAAAAAAAAAGAGAGAAAATAATTGAGAGCTAGATAAGGCCATAGCTGCTCCAAGCTTCTTCTGTGGTAAGTTATATTCAGCCAATCAAAAGAAAAGTTGTATTCATCTTTAGCTTTTTGCTTATGAGGATTGATTTCCATCAACACTCTGTGTCATCATCCATTGTTAGTAAAAGATGAATGTGTAGAAATTTTCTTTTTATGAATATATATGGAGAACATTCTGGAAAGAAGGAGGAACAAAAGCAAAATATTATTAATCAAACCAAAAAAGTGGCGGCCACTTACAAAAGCTTTAAGGGTATTCCTCCAAAGACAAAAGCATGAACTACAAAAAAAAAAAAAAAAGGTATTGACGTATGGTCCCATTGCTTCTACTATGCAACTCACATGGCTTAACATGTTATTGTCTGATACCATCCCATACTCCAAAATAATATAGACCTTTTGTTTATTCTACTAGTTAATTAGTGGGTGGTTTTTGTTAGGTTGGTCTGAAACTTCGCTAGTGTAAAGTTAATCCGTTAGCCGATAGGTTCAGTTTACGTTTATGAATATCAGTATTGACTAGTGTCTAGGACTATTTTCAGCTTAATATTTTCGATCCCACCTTTGATTTTTAATGCAAATTTGATGCAATTAAGGTTTGCCAGGCAAGAGATCTTTTCCTTGTTGCCTCTGTTTGGAGTTTATTGTCGCCCACAGTATTTCTCTTGTTTTATTTTGTTGTTGTTGAAAAGTGATTTCACTAGAATGTTATTGGGTAACTTCGAGGCCATAACAACATGATGTTGATTTCTTTGTAAAAGAAATCACTGCAGCTATTTCCAAAGGTACCAAAACCTTTCCGAAATTTCACAGCTCATCGAATCATTTATTATACCACTCAAAGATGTGAGGTCGTTACATCATTTTGTATCTTGTATGGACTTAGATATCTTGCATGTGATGATTTTTCTCAACAAATTAATGAATCCCAATATCCCATATGCATATATATATGAAACGTATTCACACAAACACTCATGCAATTACATCAAAACCCGAAGGTTAACTTAATATATATAGTAGTCCAAATATAAGAAACAATAACAAAAAAAAACTCATGCAATGTAAATAAACCGATGTAATGGCAAATTAAAACAAGTAAATAACCCTAACTCTATGAAATGTAGAGATTGGTTTAGAAGAGAAACCCAGAAGCCAAAGCAGCAACAGATGCAAACAATGCCGGAACGAACATAGCAGCATCGGAAGTAGGGCTTGGAGCCGGAGCCTCTGACATCTGAGCGGCCGCCTTTCCTACGGCGGAGAAAGCCACAATAGCTACCATCAACACCACCATGAGCTTCATCTTCATTGACTCCATCTCTCTCCTCTTTTGCACTTGGAAGAAATTTAGTCAATATATAAGATTATTTGTGAGGTGTTATGTTATTGGTGCGATAATGAGTTGTGGTGTCCTTGTGGTTTTGAAAGGTGTATTTATAAGCCAGATGTGAGAATGTTGTTTCTAGAGACAGCTCTATGAAATATTTTAGTTTACTTAACTTTTTAGTAAAGGAAAAGGTACCCGAATTACAGCAACACAAATTAATACAACTTAAAAAAAAAAACGCAGTACGTAGTCGTATACAATGGCTATAATTATATTACAACGAAATTAAATATTTTAAAATTCAGACTAAGATAAATCCAGTCTTTTATTGTGTTTCTATTTTTTAGTATATACACAACCTAGTTTCTGAAAAACTCATAGCTAATTAATCTGCGTAAATATTATCGCTAGCTAAAAAAGCACATTTTGAAAGTATATTTGTTGATATGTGAATGTGAATGTAAATTGAGAGTATTATTCGTGAACAAGAAAGAAACAAAACAGGTTGTCCAAAGAGTTTGAACAGCTGGCGGAGATTGGCTGTCTCTTGGCCCAAACTATATTGTTGTCTTTCTCAACCACTCTGTTCCTTCTTTACAACCTCACCACTCATTTCATATTTACTAAAGTTTCTTATTTTATATTATCATTTTGGTTTATAGTAAACATCTTGTTCTAATTCATACGGTAGATTAGACCAAAATATTGCTTTGAACATACGTAAATTGTATTGCACCTTCGTGGGGATATTTTATTTTAGAGGTTTTAGATTCTAGAAGATGTAAATGACATTAACCTTAACTCAGATTCGATTCTTCTTATAATATGGTTGAAATACAGATGGTTAAGTCTACGTTAAAAAAAACATCTAATGCTTTTTCTATTCTTAATTATTACTTCTATAAGTACATTGTATATCGAGCTTTGGATTACAATATATGTATGATCTCCACATTTTAAAATTAGCCTTTTCTGAAAGAACATAGTTTAATCAACATGCGTAACTTATTTTGACGCATGGTTCGTGTATCTAATGAACACTCAATACCTATATGGCTAGATTGAGATGAAATTCAGGAATTCAAAAGATGGGACTTAACTTGATTAGTTATAATTTAATTTCTTATGTTTTTTCCTTGTCAATTTTGTAATTTCTGACAGAATTCTAAAGGTGATTGCGTAACTAAAGGATCAATTAGCCGTTTTAGCCATTAGGGTTTCGTTGAAACTAATGATGATAATTCTTGCCCCAACGTTCATAATTTCATATCACACCAAACTATGAAAATGACCAACCATCCCCGTTACCAAGATCTTTTTTTCACACCTGTTTAATTTTTTTATGTCGGCCATTTATTTGTTTTAACATTGAAAAGCTTTTTAATAATACTATACTATTTATGTTCAGAATTATTTGATGTTTAAGGTTTTTTGCACACAGTTTAAGGATTCATTTAATTTTTATTTTTCCTATATTAAAAATATTATTTATAATTTATTTAAATATCATTCAGCCAATAAGAAGACAATCTGCAGAATATAAAAGGTCAAAAACTATAAAAATTCATTAAATTTTGCATTGAAAAGTGAAAACATCAAATAATTCTGAACAAAAAAACCTTCTAAAACATCAAATAATTCTGAACTGAACAGAAAGAGTACTATTTGGTTTCGTTATACAATAAAGAAACTAGCCGAAAAGATTGAATACCAAACATGCATTATTATAAGCATGAGATTGCACTATAATGTGGCCCCAACCAATGAAACTAATTGTTGTTTCTTCCCCAGTTCCAAAACAAAACGAGTTGTTCTTTTTCTCTTTTTCATTGCCTGAAAACATTTATACTATATGAAAACTCATGAAACCTATATAGTTCCTCCATTTCATGAATATTGGTTTTTAAGCTTTCTATTTTGTTTTGTGAGGAACGATCCTTTATATTTAGATACGGACATCATATTAATTAAAGACAAGTCTTGGCGCTCTTGGAAAATCAAACAATCCAAACTAAATAAAGCAAAATTTAACTCACATATTGAGTTTTAAAATAAAAATGGTTACAAAAGGTCAATTGTCAAATTGTTTCAAATTATTTGAAAATATTGGAAAAATTCGTCCTCTATATATGTATTTGTTTTTTGTTAGAACAAGTGACCTCGAAAAATTTCTTTGAAAATATAATTCGTTATTTTGAAATCTTATTTTCATTTTTAAAAGTGTCAAATATAAAAACTTTAGCGACCACTGGGCCTATGAGTCTATGACCACAATGTTTTCGTTCACTTTTACTTTGAAATTGGAACGTTAAGGTATTTGAATTTAATTATGTAAAAAAAAAGTGTTTACATTTTTATTGCTTTTTCCGACTGTCTTTTTTTTTGTTTTTGTTTTAATACCCTTTTCCAATTATCTTTGTTAAGTGAACTTTATCATCTTGTCGATTTTACTATTTGGAAGATTTTAGACTTGGATCCCGTGATTGACCCAAAAATAAAGAATTGACTTTGGATACCTTGTTGGCGAACGTGTCTAATGTCCATAGATACCATATTACCTTATCGATCGGACAATTTTTTTAGCTTTTACAAATGATATTTCGTGATGCACCTGAAACGTTATTTTTTCTCCATTTGTAGCTCAATTTAAGTTAGTTTTAAATGTTTGAAATCTTCGCAGTACTATAAGATAACTAGTAGTTGTTCGCCATATATTTGCTATATATTTCGATGTTTTCATTGCAGATGTTTCAAGAGGCTGAAAGAAGAACCAACAGGAATTCAAGAAAGTAACCTAATTAAATACAGTAGTAAGCTTGATAACTAGCTATTTGTTTGAACTTATCATATATAATCTAGTATATATTACTTTATCCACTATTTGTGGTTACATTTATACATTACTGATGTACAATTGTCTGTCAACATTCAACTAATTCTACCCACAAAAAACCACAGAAATTGGAAACAAACGACTAACGAAGAATTTACTAATGGATAATTAGATATAAAGCTTCAGAGGCCAGAGTTTAAGGAATAATATTGGGCTTTTGTAAACCCATTACCCATGTGTAAATAAAATAGAGCCGACGACATAAGCATATTTAGCCAAAAGTTGAAAATACTGTCTGATGCACTAAATTCGATTGTGGGTGTGAAGTGGAATTCCATTTACAACTTACAAGTGTGGAAAATTAAGGGAATGAATTTGAGTCATCTTTCTATCTATGTATTCAAAAAGAGTTAAACTTTTTTTTCTTAAGATGACAATATAAACCAGAAGATTACGTGATCGTAAACAGAAACCACTGATTGAGGTATCTTGTTTTGTCTACAAAAAGGCTGAAACTTTTGCGCTCTCTCTTGTGATGTGTCGTCTTAGACTCTTAGTGCGTAGCTAGGAAAAATCCACAATCATATAGTAATTGAAATTAGTAACTCTTTCAAAAGAGAAACATCTCAGAATACAAGTAAGAGACAATGTAGAAATATACTTAAAGGGTCCCAAAGTTTCTCTGAGCTTTTAAGAAACTTGAGGGGGCACACACCTTCGTTTGTCCCCCATCTACTTACATGGAGAGTACTACTACTACTAACACTTTAATACAAAGTTAAAAATCAGACAACCCTCAAAACTTCCCATCACCTAGAGAGAGCTTACACAATACATCACTAATTACTACAGCCTAATACTATCCAATGAGGAGGAAATTTTACAAGACTGAAAGAGAAAGTAGACACTAACACATGCTTGAGTTATGGGCAGTTCTTGTTCTTGCCAGGACCACCGTAGTAGAAGAAATGTCCCCAGTCATCATTGATTCCTGTCTGAACATCATAACAGTTGGATTTCTCAGTGAATGTCCCGAGTCTTTTTGGTGCTTTAAGGTTGTTAGATCCATCAACGACTTGAATGTTCCTAAAGTAACTTGCTTTGCTGAAACCTTCTTCAGGGAAGTGACCGCTTCCCATCTGTGTCCAAGTGTGGTGCCCATTTGATTGCGAGTCCACAACTTCCCCTCCCCATTCGATCATCGATGCACTCTCTGTTAGGTAGGAGAAGAGAAACGATGGCCAATACCCCAAAACGTACCCATTCCCATACTGCATCCACCAATGTCCCTCCTTAGGATCCTGTGACAAGTCAAAAACATACACACATTTCTCAGCCTCGGTTTTAGTTTACAAAAGGGTTTCAGGTGTGTCATAATTTAAGTACCTTCCAGATTAGGATACTGATATCGTACTGGGAATTACGATATCCAGAGACTGGTGAGATGCTTGCTCCCATTGCTATGTCACTGTTGATCTGAATAAACCCTGAGCAAAGAAGATTGTAGCAACCAGTAGCTTGATAGGCATCACTCTGCAAGTAGAAATTTTGAGCAACATAAAACATCATTGTATATTATACCACAAATAGTTCAATTCAGTAGGAGTTTTAAAAGTCTTACAGTCCAGTAAGTGAAGAGTCTTGTATTATTGTCTCCATATAGATCCGGGCTCACCTATATAAGTGAAGAGTCTTGTATTATAGTCTCCATAAGTGAAGACTCTTGTATTATGAGTGAAGAGTCTTCAGAGAGCACCACAAATCATGCAATGAATTACACAAAAAAATCATCTCTAGAATCAATCTCCAAATGACAGTGTCTTACCTGCCAACCAGCTTCAATGCTGTTAAGATCTTGTCCAAAGGAACCACCCAAAAGCCATATCTGCGACAAGCTGAATTCGTTTGTGTGCTGTATCTTTGGCTCCCACACGTTTAAAGTCGCCTTAGCTCCATAGTACTTATCTCCTTCCACATAAGCTATGGCGTGCTATTCTCATTCAAGAGTTCAAGAAACCAAAACATAGAACCAAAAAAAGATGTCTCAGACCAAACAAAGCTACAAAAAAAGTTATATGTCAAAACAAAGGAAACATTTCTGATTTCACTCACCTGATGACCATTTTGGTTAATGAGGTCAGGTTCCGCAGATTTAGGAATAGGAACGGTTCTATGTTTCTTCTTGCCGTATCTTTTAACTGAACTAGCTCTCAACACATCATCCTCCTTTGTCCTCCTCATCGGAATGGTTCCTTGAGGACATTTGCCATACCGGTGCCACAACTGAGGAATATGCGTTTCTTTCTCCTTTGATATTGCAGATACTTTATTGTCATCAAATAGCCCTTCAGGGTGGTAATTAGGCCTCATCTGAGCACACAAAGTAAACAAATATCAGTACTAGCCAAAACTTGAGCACTAGAAAATTTTATCTAAATCATTAGTATTAATCCTCTGAAAAAACCTGAATCTTGTGATCTTTGAGGAAAGGGTGGTCGAAAGCTGGCTGCTTTGAGATAGGAACACAGTCAATTATATCTCCATCTGGGCTCTGTTCAACCACAAATAAGAAAACGTTGAATGAGAGAATTTCGAACTATTATAGAGGAAATCTCTTCAGGAAAACTGATTTATCCAGCATTAACTGATAGAAAGTACTTAAAAATCACTCTGGTGTAACTACAGAATGAGAGAATCATTCACTTTCGTGCCAATTAGCATACAAAAAGAAAAGTAGATGAAAAAATCTTGGAGTAGGAGAGACAACACGAAGAAGTAAAGATGAGATTTTTGAACCTGAATGGTCTTAACAGGAGATTTGTTGAGCCTATTCAAGTGCTTCTTCACTTCAAACTTCTGTCTTGAAGCGCCATGCCTCGCTGCGCATGATAGCGAGATAATCCCCAACAGCCATAAACACACTAACAAACCTCTATCCAACTTAAAATGCACAGCTCCCATTGTCGCAATATCCCAAAAAAACTTGAAGAAAAAAAGAAGACAAAAGACAAAAGAAGTTCTCGCTTTCGCGGAGATTCACACAAACTAATATGGAACACGAAAGGTGAATAAAAGATTTAAACAGTGTAGGTGGTGGTTCTGTTATCTTTGACTACGTGAACTATAAATTAGATTATAAAAATGTTATTCCCAAAGTAAAGTAAATTAGATATATTTTTTTAATTTTGCCTTTTGAAATTGCTCTACCTTTTGAGTATTGCTCTGTCACGTGGTGTTTGTAGTTCGAATGGAACCTGTGGCTCTCCTCCACATTAATCTACTGAAGTTCCCCGTTTTGCCCCTCTCGGTAAAAACAAATTTAAATTTCAAAAAAAAATAAAGATAAATATATATCTCTCTCGTTAGGGCTGAAATAATTATCCGATATCCGGTATCCGATCCGGTATCCAATCTTATCTGATCCGTAAAAATCGAATATCCGTGTAGTTCGAATCCGGATCCGGATAGTGAAATTAAGTATTCGTTTATTTTGGATACGGATCCGGATAATAGAAAATTTTGAAACCAGATATCTGTTATCCGTTTGTTAAATATTTATTTATTTTTAGTAATATTTATTCATTTTTAAAAGTTAATTTTAAAATTGTTTTTGGTTTAACTCTTTTACAAATGATTAAAATTCATATTGTGTGATAATTTTCTATTTTAGTTTGTGAGACAAGAACATAAACATGGATAGCATATGGACATGAGATAAATTAACTTTTCTATTACTATTTTCTCTTTTGTTATGTAAATTTTTAAACTTTATGCTATTTGAATGCTACTTGAATGTTTTTTAGTTTTTGCTATTTGTAAGTTGTTATGATGATACATTTTAATTATCTATGTTATCTTATTATAATTTTTAAAACTTAAACTTTTTTTTAAATCAACGAAACTGGATATCCGACCAGATATCCGCAAATATTCGGTTCAAACCGGATATTCGGTCTCCAGATATCCGGAGTTTTCATATCCGGATCAGGATAATAAAACTGATTATCCGGTGTAACCGGATCCGGATCCGGATATCTTGAAAAGTCCGGATATCCGGCTCCGTTCCAGCCTATCTCTCGTAGAGAAATGATAGTAGTAGTATAACAGCATGTCCATCGCTGTGTTCCACTATAGGTTCTAAAAAATTATTTTAATAATAAATTTTTAGAGGAGAGAGAAAAGGGAAAATCTCCATAAAAAACAAAATATTTAAAAATGAAAAGAGAAGAGGAAAGAAGGAGAGAGAGTGTCTCAAAAAACAATTAACGAATGAAAGTGTGCCACATTTTTATGAACCTCCCTTAAATAAAGTTGTTATATAAGAGTTTTAGAGATCGAGTTTGTAGAACTTTTTGCATTTTTCATTTATTTTAATTAGTAAAAGTATCTAAAAACTCCATCTGAACCCAGGAGATGGTAACATTAGTAGAATTCACTGATGTAAACAAAATTTCGCTAGGAATTGTAAACATTTACTTGTAACAAAAACATCATAGAGTTTTGAACATATGATAGCGAAAATGCAAAATACACTGCATCAAAACTCCCATTAATGTCGTTAACTCCACGATAATCAGATGTGGGTCACGCATTGAATAAGTTGACAGCAGATTATAGTAGTAAATTAGCTAGTAAGACCATCTCCAATGTAAATCTCCATTTTTTACTCCAAAATGGAGTTGTATTTTGCTCCAATGTATGACTCTATTTTTGACTCCAAAAAAGAATATTCCTAATAGATTCTATTTTTCTTTTACTTTTAATAACCTATAACTTTTAGAAGTTACAAAATAACCCATTTATTTTTATTTTATCTAAAATATTTATAATTTACGAATTTAATAAAATTAAAATATTTATTAAATAAAAAATTACATAAAATCATAAAAACATAAGAAATTTAAGGCTATGTTTTATTTTTGATTTGTAGAGGAATTGTATTCCTACTTTTTGAATAGTAACATTTTTGTTTTTTATTGATATGCAATTCAGTCAAGCCAAACTAATGCTACAAGAAGATTCAAAGTTCAAAACAAGTTGGAAATTTGAACATGTTTGGAATATTATTAAAAACTTTGAAAAGTTTAAAGATGGTGCCGATCCTAAACGCATATTAATCCCATCTCGTGCCGAGTATACATCGTTCGAGTCTGGAAATTCCATTGATTCTCCTACACAAGCATCTCCAGGTTTGTCTTCATTTTCTTTAAACTTAGATGATACCGACGAGCTTACTAGCGGATCTCCCTCTCCACGACCAATGGGGATCAAGAAATCCAAAAATAAAAGAAAACTTGTTGATCAAACAACATCATTTATCAACACTTTAGAAGAAGGAAATAAACAACTTTTGGAGCAATTAAAGAAGACAAGTGCACAAAGACAAGATCATCTGGAGATTCAACGAAAAACTATGCTTTGAAAGAGCTGAAAAACAAAAAAAGACAGCGCACGGATCACAAAAGAGGGGTGAAAATGGAAATGAACATTAGAATCGTTGATCCGATGAAGGGAAAGTAGTTGAAATGGAACCAAAGTTATACTACCACTTGGAAAACATATATGGCTATGCTCTCTCTACAAAAAAAAAAACATTGTTATTATTATATATCTCTTTATATGTGATTGGTCCTTTCGTCCATTTATATATGTGCGCGCATTTTCCTAATTCTCAGTTACAGCTGCGGTTTAGTTTAGATAAACCGAAATGACATTCTTAGTTAAATCAATACAGTTATTTATCTATATGTGTGAATATAATATACATGTAAAGTAAAGCACCACACCCATACATTACATAAAATAATTTTAGTCCGGAATTTTCGGTAAAGCGAAAGTCTACCCACCAAAAGTTACTCAAAAAAAAAAAAAAAAAAGCCACAACGTTGTGAGATAGGGTATGTATAATATGTATGATGATAGGAGGAGAAAAAGCAATTGTACAAGATTTGATAATAATGATATGACCTTCTTTGATTCATGACTATTCGAAAGGAGGTGGAGCCACCAGCTTTTCTTATCGTCTCCTCCATCCATTATTGTCTTCATTATGCGAATCTTTTCAAATTAATTTAAAGTACTCTTTTATTACGTGAAAAATAACGACGATGCATAGATTCGATGAATCCAACGATCCCTATTCCATATCATGGTAGTATGTCATCATACGAATATCCACAAGACTAATATATGTGGACGAAATTTTTATAAACTCATATAACATAAACGTGTGAATCTGTATGTATGCATTTTGTCTTTTGGTGGAATAATACATGGAGACATGTGACTTCTCACTTTGTTCTTTTTTTAGTTAGAATCACGAGTAAGAGAAGCCTTGAATCCAATTTTGACTTGTTCCTCTATATTTCAGAAAATGCCATGCAATGTAATTATAGTGGCATCAGAACACATCCAAACTAAAGAGCGAAAACGAAATCTTATAGATTTTAATAAAGAAAAAAAAGACCTATGCGAAGCCAATCCCATTTTAAAATAGAAACTGAATACTAAGACTTGATTCCTATATCCCAACAGCGCACCATTCCAGCCCAGTAAAGCACGGCCTATACATAAGGAGAATCAGGAAAATCAATAAGCTGAAATTTTTATAAACCCATATATCAACTGAAACTGTGATCCAATTCCAAAGGAGTGTTAAAAAGAGTCTGGGAGGTGTAATCTAATTGACCACAACCTAAACTCAGCAGATTCAGCTTTCAAGAAACAGAAGAGACATATCTTCTTCTTCATGTACCTAAAATCAAAAACAGATTCGCCAATTCTCTTGGCACAAGATCCAGTAGTTTGGAGAGTGTTTTTGCTCAAATACAAGACAATTACGAAAGAAAAAAGAAAAGGCAACAGTATGGATAATGAAAATGCTATTTTTCCATAACATAAACATTATAATCCTCAATATGAACAACATAAGTTACTTTAGCTCAAAGAACGAAATCGAATCATAAGGAGAAAAGATCTGTTTATTTTCGTATAATATCTGATTTTGTGACTAAATATCCAAGACTAAATTTACAGTGTATCCAAAAACAACAAATTAAGATGATTAACCTAAATCATCAGAACAATATACCTAATTAGCTAAAGCCAGGGCAATAACAAAAGAATCAGAAACTGAAAAAAAAAAAAAAAGCAGAGGTCAGCTACTTTAATTAATCTGAGTGCGAGTAATAGTAATAATCATCCAAATCCAAGGTAGACGATGAAGACGACATATGATGATGATCAGCAGCATAACTGTTATGATCAAAAGCAAGCATATCTTCGTAGTCAGCATCATCATCAGAAGAAGAAGAAGATAAAGTGTCGTCGTAAGAATCAGGTATCGGGGAGCAGAGAAAGTCCCATAGACAGAGAACGAGATGACCAAGAGGGAAGCAACAAGCCACCTCAAGAAGCTGATTGGTATTCAACATCTCCGACGACGGAACCCTCCTCATTCTCTGCCACGTGTCGGCGGAAACGTCAGCCACCGCCATCATAGCCGCGCTGCTGAACACCATTGCCCCCAAAAGATTCTCTCCTCTTTCCTTGTTTGATTTGGGGACAAACTCTCGCTGGTCGCGGTTTTGACTTTTCAGTAGTTGACTTTGTTTTGGTTTTGCAACTTGATATCGGTTACCTTTTTTTCCTCAATTTATGGAGAGCTGAGCCGTCGAATAATCTCGTTTTACAACAAGGAAAAGGAAATAAGCCAAAACATTTACATATACATGTACCTTATGTTTTATTTAATTATTACAATATTCCTTATTTATATAAAGTGTCCAAATATTTTACGATTAAAAAGTAACCATCAATTTTTCTTTATATTTAAACGGCAAATTTGTTTAGAATAGATCTAACATTTTGTAGAGTTTTGTTCTTGTATTACTAGTGGAAGTTAATATTATTGATAAACACACTTTGTTACTTATTTTTAGGACAAAAATTAAGATTTCTGAAAATTCATTTTAGGCTCTAGGAAAAAGAAAAAAAAAAAAGAGAGGAGCCGACATAAATTTTTAAGATTTGAGAAACTAGAAGCCCAAAAGTTGAAATAGTTAGACAAGATTTTAAGGTTGTTGTCCAAAAAAATTCAAAGCCCAACTCACTTTGGTTACATTCTTCTTCTTCCACCTATCCACAGCAGCAGGAGTCGAGCAAAGAAAGCACACCGGAGAGAAATGGAGGCATTGAAAGTATGGAGCCTAACGGCGACGCCGTTGAGGCAATTACTCCGTCTATCTTCCTCTACGCGTCTCTTCACCTCAATATACGGCAGAAGATCCTACCACTCATCACCGGCGCTCCGATGTGCCTCCGCCGCTTCTTCTTCTTCTTCATCCAATGCCGCGACGGCTGAAACTCCCAAACCATCCGGCCGAAACAGAAGGTCACCGTCGTCTTCCAATTCCACCTCCGATCGTGAGGCTATCCGTTCCATTCGTCTAAAAAAGGTGTTTCTTTTTGCAAATTTATGAACTTTACTTCAGACTTATACTACAACTATGTTGGAGGTTTCGAAAGTAAATAGTTTTTTCCTGTGTGTCTTGGCCATTTAGTGATGATCGGTTTTTATTTGGTTCATTAGGTTGAAGAGCTGAGAGGTCAAGGTCTTGAACCTTATGCTTACAAGTGGGAAAAATCTCACAGTGCAAATCAGCTCCAAGAGATATATAAGCATCTAGCAAATGGCGAGGAATCAAACAATGACAGTGATCGTGTTTCTGTAGCCGGGAGAGTCGTTGCTCGCAGAGCGTTTGGGAAACTTGCATTCTTGACTCTGAGGGATGACTCCGGAACTATTCAGGTTTCATCTTCTTCCATTGTTTTATTTGACCTGATGTCTACACCATTTCCTATTGATTGAAGGAATACAAGCTTTACGTTTATGTTCCCTGCCTACTCTTATTCTTTGCAGCTCTACTGTGAGAAGGAAAGGCTTTCAGATGAACAGTTTGAACAGCTGAAAGCATTTATTGATATTGGTGATATTTTGGGTGCTAGTGGCTCAATGAAGAGGACTGAGAAAGGTGAACTCGGATAAGATGACTAGTCTTGATAGAGAAACATTGTTTTCGGGTTTTGTTTACTAACTGTATGGTCTCTGAATTTTCCAGGGGAGCTTTCTATTTGTGTGAATTCTTTTTCGATTCTCACAAAATCCCTCCTTCCACTGCCAGACAAATATCATGGTCTAACCGATATCGATAAACGTTACCGTCAACGGTGAGCTCTGTCTTTTGCCTTATTGGTTTAAATTCTTAGAGCTCATAAGTCTTATGTTCGTTTCATTCACCGTGCTCGATCTTGCTAGGTATGTTGATATGATTGCTAATCCTGAAGTGGCTGATGTATTCCGGAAAAGGGCAAAAGTAGGTTATCAATATCTTCTAACTCATTTGAGCATCTAGTTTCTCTATCTCTATCTCTCTGCAACATTATTTAAGATCTCTCTATCTCTATCTCTCTTTAAACTGAGTTTTGTTTCGGCGATCAACAATGCTCATCATCTGTTTTATCTTACTAGATTGTGTCAGAGATACGCAGGACAGTTGAGTCTTATGATTATTTGGAGGTTGAAACTCCAGTTCTCCAGGTTTGATGGCACCTTCATTCTCAAATGACCCCTTAATATTGAAATTCTTGTTTGGGAGTCGGTTTCATGAACTTGTGAAAACTAGGGAGCAGCTGGTGGAGCCGAAGCCAGACCTTTTGTAACGTATCATAACTCACTTGGGAGGGATCTCTACCTGAGGATTGCAACTGAGCTTCACTTGAAAAGAATGCTGGTGAGACACATCTTCTGTTTTCATATTCTTTTGGCGTCTTTTTCTGTCTTTCCTCTTTTGTATCAACTAGCCACTCTAGGCGGAAAATTGATTTTACCTGAGATATGTATGAAATGTAAATGTTTTCTCTTAATAGATTTCCCTTTGTGATCACAGGTTGGGGGGTTTGAGAAAGTGTATGAAATTGGTCGTATATTTAGAAACGAAGGCATTTCAACACGTCACAATCCTGAATTCACAACCATCGAGGTACTTCAAGATATATGCCTTCTCCTCAATCATCTGCATCTATTGGGCTTCCAAAATCTTGAATGGCTCCCTGATCCATAGCGGTTTAAGCTATGTTTAGATGTATGAAGCTTATTCAGACTACCAAAACATGATGGACATGGCAGAATTAATCGTCACTAACTGTGCAATGGCAGTTCATGGGAAGCTAACGATTGATTACCAGGTAATACCACAGCTCGTGTGTGGAGATAAACTCATTTGAATTCTATTTTGGTTTTGAATCTTTGAGAAAATTCAGTTTTGACGGCTCTGTGCAGGGAACAGAGATCTGCCTCGAGCGACCCTGGAGGAGAGAAACCATGCATAATCTTGTTAAAGAGATAACAGGAATCGATTTCAGTGAGCTAGGGGAAGATCTCAGAAATGCCAAAGACACAGTTCTGCTGGCACTCCAAGACGTGCTTGAACCCAAGGACAAATCTGGAATTGGAGCTTGCTCTTCTCTAGGCCATCTTCTTAATGAGGTGAAGCTTCTTCAGTTGACACTTATCTAATTTGCCAATTTATGTGCTGAAATAAATTCGTTTTTTCCAGGTTTTTGAAGTTGTTGTAGAGCCAAAGCTTGTGCAGCCAACATTTGTATTAGACTACCCAATCGAAATATCTCCCTTGGCCAAGCCACATCGCAGGTAAAGTTGTTTCTAGAGCTCCGTTTTCTGGCAACTGTTCTATTCATTCATCTTATGTTATGAAAAGTGTTTCAAGTTTTAATGGCCTTTTTTTTGTAACAGCAATGCAGGTTTGACTGAAAGATTTGAGCTGTTCATCTGTGGCCGTGAAATGGCAAACGCATTCTCCGAATTGACTGATCCCGTGGACCAGGTAATGGGGCTAATGCAGTCTTCCACATTCCCGCAATATTGTGTCTTCTTGAATAACATTCTTACATAGTAAATGTTCTCCTTTTTAGCTATATTTGTGGACGCTGTATCATAAAAGATTGATGATATGACTTCAAATATGGCAGAGGACGCGGTTGGAAGAGCAAGTAAGGCAGCATAACGCAAAGCGAGCAGCGGCTGCACCAGAAACTACTGAACAAAACGCAAAGAAAGAAGATGATGATGATGATGATGATGATGATGATGATGATGATTCATATGAGGTGACCCTCGACGAAGACTTCCTCACTGCCCTTGAATATGGAATGCCTCCGGCATCGGGAATGGTACTTGCATACAATTAAATTAATAGCATTGACATTAGTTAATTTGCTACAGTCAAGTCGATAACATGACCGGACTTCTATGCTCAAATACTTATATTGGTCTACTATTATTGTTTCTCTTAGGGACTTGGAATCGACAGGCTGGTGATGTTGTTGACTAACTCCGCGAGTATAAGAGACGTCATTGCCTTTCCTGTTCTGAAAGTGCAGCAGTAACACTTATGCCTGTCCTAAATACCTCCAAAATATATCCAAATCCGTTTGGAGGATTCTGACTTTTGCTCTCCATTCTCCATTTTTTCATTGACTTGTTTTAAGCATGTAGATACTATGTATTAGCCACATGTTGAGGGTACTGATGATTGAGGAAACACAGATTCAGCTTTCTTGTAGAAAAAGAAACTTCACGCTCTCTTCTCTTATTTTTATCCGTTTTTCTAATTGATTCTGTGTCGACAAAACATGATCTCCTGTTGTTTAGGTTAGAGACAAAGCTATAAACAAAAAGAACTTTAATCATTAGTTTTCCATTAATTTATGTTGTTTTACCAAATTTTATGTATTTTTTTTGAAGGACAAGCTAGCGCCAATGTCTAAACATGGATTATACGAATTAAAGATTTATGTTTTTTTTATATGGGATAATATTGCTTTTAGGTTTAAGCTTTATACCTGGATGAGGTTACTTGTGGAATGTATCGGACCAATTATACATGATTGATGCCTAGACAATAATAAGCAAATCTCATGCATGTGTGAGACAACTTGTATGGCTTTTGAGTTTGATTGATCTCAACATTTATGTCAGAACTGAGAAGCATCCTATGTCGCATCATTATTCTCTATATTGGCACACGCATTATATATTTATATGCATTTATATACCTAGGTCTAGGTCTAGGTGTGTGTATGTATATGAAATTTGCAGAAATTTTGGTAGACCTAAAGGATACATCATACCTAAATAATTAATTAGATCATATCTGGAGTTGTCAACTATACATATATATATATATATATATATATATTTGATAAGTACTTTCCTTCAGGTGGAAACTTCGTGTCGTATTCCATTAACATGAAACCTTTAGATATCCAATGAATCATCCAAATCCAAGTAAAATTTGAAATTTAATTGCATAATTAGATGAAATGCGACCAAAATTTATAGTCTAATGAATTTTATCAGTATCTTCATCCGTATATCTAATCGAGTTCAAAATAAATAGTTTAATTGCATAATTAGATGATATGCGACCAAAGTTTATAATCTAATGAAATTTATCAGTATCGTCATATATTGATTTTTTATTCATTTTATTACTTTTGAGTATATATCCGATATTTTTATAAATCAGAAACTTTTGAGTTATCAACAAAATTCAAAAACTATATATTAAGAGATAACAGAACTTAACCGTTCACCAAAAAAAAAGAAAAGAGATAACAGAACTACAGTATATGCAATGCATATGCTATTTATATTAAATCAGATATATTCACCTAAACAAAAAAAATAGTTATTCGTATTATTCTTAGTAAAGGGGTATTATGAGCAGATAAAATATCTGATAACGTATAAAAAAAGATCTGATATCTGAACTACAAAAGAGAATCCAATACAGAGATTAACCGAAGAAACAGTTAGCGAAGAAACAGTTACCTTACAAGTTAAAAAGACTTCACCTTTTTTTTTTTTGTGAACATCAAAAAGACTTCACCTTTAGAGGCACCGAAAAAGCAAATTCGAGGACTAACTTTATCTTCTTCTGATGTGAGAGCAAGGGTTTAAAATTCTTAAAACTACGCCATCTTTGTCTCTCAAAACAAATCATAAAAGTATGTGCCTTTTTTTTTTTCAATTCCTTTTGCTTTTCCATGGCTGATTGTTATCAATTGGAATCTGTTCTTTTCCAATTAGTATTAGCATTTGCGTGGTCCATGTACTTTTGTCTGTTTCCTCATCTGATCAACGCTTAATTTATGGTCTTTGGATTCTATCGAAGAGGAGATATATATATTGTGGTTATTAACTCTTCCTCGAAAACCTTTTGCTGCTGTTTTGTTTTGGCTTTTCAGAAATCCAGAAATCAAAACTGTTTTCTGCTCTTTTGTCGCTCGAAGATTTTTGGGTTTCTTTTCCGATCTGGGCACATCAATGGGCACAAAAAGTTTGTGACTTTATTAAAAGACAAAAAGAGCTGTGTCGAATTGATTGATGATTGGGCGTTTCACAGACCCAACATATGTTTTGATGAGGGTTTTGCTGTGTAAGATCCAGTGCCCTTCTTTCATCTGTTTCTGTAAGCCTTCTCCTCACATCTACGCAGCAGGTTCGCTGAAATTGGAGAACACGCCTCAAGTGTCTTCTTCCACTACTACTGTTGTTGATGACGATGATGATCATGATCATTATGTTGATGCACATGTAGAAGAAGGTGTTGATCATGTGGATGGTTTGTTGAATGAGGTTAGAGAAGAAGATTGTGCTGTAGAGGGAAAGGAAGAAGATTGTGCAGTAGAGAGAGAACAAGAAGAAGAGGAAGGCCAAAGTCATGGGGAAAGCCTGAAAAGCAGTCTCAAGAAGGTGGTTTCGGATTTAGGAGATGGTGAGAGAAGGGAGAAGAAGAAGGTACAGTGGGTGGATTTGATGGGGAAAGAACTTGCTGAGATCCGTGAATTCGAGTCTAGGTTAGTCTTCTATTGCTTTTGCGTCTTTCAATTTGGTTTCTTTAGTTTATGATGATTGAATCTCTTATCAAACTTTGAAGTTGCAAACTTTCAGTAGTTCTTGAGAATTTGTTGAACTGGCATTTGTCTGATTCCTCATTTAATTTGCAGTGAAGAAGAAGATATCAGATATGATGGCGATAAAAACTGCGTTTGTGTTATTCTGTGATCAGCTCGTCTTAGTTTTACCCGGAGATAAGGCTATGGTGAAAGGTGAAGAAGCTTGCTCGAGATTTAGCTCTCTTCGTCTTGTGGCTTGGGCTGTGGAGTCCATATTCATTGAGGTACATATAGTAGAATCTGCGATTGTGTTCATCAACCAATCTACATTTGCTCGCCTGAGGTTATATGATGATTCTAGGTACAACATGGCAGCATTCTATTACCTTTTTAGGATTGTCAAGAGATTTGCTTTCTGTGACACTTGTTTCTTTGACCAGTTAGTGAATTTCTTTCTCACTCAGATTCTAAAAATTTTAACACTACAAGCATTATATTTTTGAGTTCTCATCTCCATTAGCTTTGCTAGCAAACCAAAAATCGTTTCAAGTTTCCTTGACCATCTAATGTTGACCATGTGTATCCAGTCTTGATTTACTTTTATGGTCTTTACTATCATCCTATATATAGCAATTCTTTCCACTTCGAGAGATACCTTTCATAAAGAGAATAACTATTGATCTGCATTTTCCGGACAAAGCCCTAGACCATCTCCTTTCAAAGGCTGAGCCTTCCTTTTGACCACAATACTGTGAGAAAGATCTAAGCTTCTATTTTTTTTAGTTGACGCTGACAATTTATTCAAAAATGATTCCAAATTTGATATTAAATGAACACATTATTCCCTGGTTCAAAAATCATTACACTTGCACATATATTTTTTTTAGCAAGCTAAAGCAATCCGTATCCCGGTGAGCTACCCTCATTTCGGAATGTTCATCTACCTCTCCTCTTCAAGAGCAAACCCGGCCGGTCTATCTCAGTATCCATATCCTGAAACAAGACAAAGTCAACGAGATTCAGTGATGAAGAAACATAAGTCTTGATGTTATTGTCCAAGATTCCCTGAATCACAATATTTGGACTAACCTGAGTTGTCCATTGGGTTGCCAGCCGGAACTGGCTCTGGCTCCTTGATCTCGACAACCACACAGTCAGACATCAAGAACGTCTTTGCAACCGATGCCGCATGTTCCAAGCAACATCTCACAACCTGAGAAAAATGCAGATATCCAAAAGATCTTTATCATGAAATGGTTCAGCCAAAAGAGAGAGACTTGTGTTCGCCAAAAACTGACCTTTGTTGGGTCGATGATTCCTGCAGCCATCAGATCTTCATACTTTCCGGTTGCAGCATTGTATCCGAATTTCACATTGTCGTTAGCTAACACCTGTCATGAATTAAAGGCGTCTTTTCAAGCAACTTTCTTAGATCAAAGAGATATATTTGACTAGAGGTTTTTCTGTTATGTTGTTACCTTCTCGCTCACAACGCTTCCGTTAACACCGGCATTCTTTGCAATCAATTTCAGAGGGTAACTCAGTGCTCTTTTAACGATTTCTGCTCCAACCTATAGTCAGGGAGTAGTTAGAAACGAAGTCAGACAAAAGCAAAGTGAACAATAACTCCACAGGTCTTTGGTTACGCTGGTTACCTTCTCTTCATCGTTTTCAAGGGTGTCCTTGATGGCATCAACCTTGGCCGCAAGACGAAGTAGAGTGCAACCACCACCAACGACAATACCTTCCGCAACCGCAGCCTGAAACTCAATGAGATTTTATGATTAAAGATTATCTATGAGTACTCCGAATAACAAACTCTTCTGTAACCTAACCAACTGAATTAAGAAAATCACCTTTGTAGCGTTAAGAGCATCTTCAACTCTTAACTTCTTTTCTTTAAGCTCTGTCTCAGTTTGTGCTCCAACCTTTAAAACAAGATGTAAGAGCTCTAGTTAGGATCACTAAACACATTCTTCTGTTGTATAAATAAAAAAGAGCTCATGTGGATACTATTTACCTGAATTACAGCAACTCCACCAGAAAGCTTCGCAATTCTCTCATTCAATTTTTCCTTCTCGTAGTCTTGCTCCGCTTGCTGCACAACCATTCCCTTGTTAGCACAATGAACCTATACAGAAAAAGTTAACTTCTTCTGCATTTTGTCTCACACATATACCTCAATAAGATTCTTAATCTGAACAACACGCTTGTTCACTGCTTCCTGTGTGGACCCATCGCCCACAATGGTCGTCATCTCTTTGGTGAGGACAACCTTAGAGGCGTTACCCAAAACCTCTTTTCCAGCTTTGTCAAGAGAAAGACCAACTTCCTCTCTTATCACAGTTGCTGCGCGCACAAACAGACAAAACACGACAAGATTACAACAGTGAAATGATTCCTAAACAGGAGGGCATATTGATATCTACCCACAGATTACAGATAGGTTCTGTAATAAAAAACATCAGTTACCTCCAGTAAGAATGGCAATATCGTCAAGGTATTGGCTCTTGCGCTCTCCAAATCCAGGAGCTTTGAGAGCTGCGATCTTCAATGTGCCTCGAAGCTTGTTAACAACAAGAGTAGCTAAAGCTTCTTGTTCAATGTCTTCTGCAATAATTAGGATTGGGTATCCGCCTCTAATCGCATCCTCTAGAACACCAACCAGATCCCTTGCATTGGTAACCTTCTTGTCAACAAGAAGCAACTGCACAATGAAAAGCTTCGTTAGGCTATCTGTCATCAAAATACCTTTCCGGTTGCTCAGAACCAAAAATATTTACCTTGCAATTATCGTACTCGACAGACATTTTCTCACTGTCTGTCACAAAGTATGGGGAGATATAACCACGGTCAAATTGCATTCCTTCCACAACGTAAAGGTTGTTCTCAGCGCTTTTTCCCTCCTCAAGGGTCACCACACCCTTCCTGCCCACTTTGCTCATTGCTTCAGCAATCATACTTCCGACTTCAGGGTTGTTACCAGCACTAACAGCCGCCACATCTGCAAGTTCACTGTCTTCAACCTACATTTCCAATAACATAACCTTTAGATATCCTCTTGCTATAGACTTTAGACAGAAATTTTTTTTTTTGGGGGGGAATTTTTGCGACCAAAAAAGAAGATAGGAAACTTACCTCCTTAGACATTAGCTTCAGCTCGTGAACCAAAGCCTTAGCTGTCTTCTCAATGCCTCTAGTGATCAGTACAGGGTTTGCACCCGCAGCCACCACCTGAAAAATACAAACTTAAATTTATTATACTGTTCCTTTGAGTTTACATCAGAGAAAGCTGAAAGAAAAGTATACTAACCTTGACACCCTCAGCAATAAAACCTTGTGCAAGAACAACAGAAGTTGTTGTACCGTCACCAGCCAAGTCATTGGTCTTTGCAGCTGCTTGCCTTACAAGCTTTGCACCAATGTTCTCAACCGGGTCCTCCAACTCGACCTACCGGAAAAAAAACCTTTGAGCTTACAGAAGTCACTTAAACGAAGTGAAACATATTTTTCAAACAGACAATTAATTCATACCTCCCTAGCCACGGTCACACCATCATTAACAATTCTTGGTGATCCATACTTGCTCTCAAGAACAACATTTCTCCCTTTCGGCCCAAGTGTGACACCAACGAGGTCAGCGAGCTTGTTAACACCGGTCTAATAACAACAGAGTAATCAGAAACCCGGAAAAGAAACGAATCGTAATCAATTCCGCAAAGAAAGAAAAAATTCATTAATACACATTCTCACTTGAAGTTTCTTTATCGTAGTCCCATCCTTGTTGAAATGCAACTCCTTGGCTGCACATACTATCGCAGGCCGGGATCTTCTTGGGCACACATTCTGTCTCCTTCCAAAAGAGCTTGAAGAGATAGAGTTCGCAGAAGACAACTTGTGCGCATTGGGAGCAACCAAGGAACCAAGGGACGACGTTGCAGTGAAAGTCGATGCCATAGTCACTTCTCACACTGAAAAATCCAACACTCAGATTATAAACTGTATAATCACCAAACATTTGGCAATTAGCTAATCAGATTTTGCTATAAAAAAACATAAAACACAGATGTCAAAGACGACGCAATTTCAAAAATCCAGAGCTCACTAACAAGTAACAACAAAGAAAACATTTGGAAATACTCAGAGCCAACATTCAACAAATAACCTGTAAATTACTAGTTCCATCATTCATGTGCCAAATACTTGATAATCGAACCAAATATTTGAAGTGATACACACAATTACAATACATGGGAGCTCAACAGATGAAAGAGGACACTCACCGAACACTAGAACGACGGAGAAGGCGGAGGGAGATTTCCGGCGGAGAGTTTATAGGGGATAAGGAGAAAAGGAAGATAGGTTTTATCTGCTTGGTTTCTCTCTGAAGAAATGAAGAATGGCACAGTCACTACTAGTTGCTTCCCAATTTTTTTTTCTTGATATAAAGCAAGGCAAGTGCAGCGATCCCTTTAGCTCTTGAAACTTCGAGCTAATCTTGACCGTCGGATGTATTGTTGTTTTGTTTTGTCATCAGAAGAACACTCTAGAACGTCGGATTCTGGGTCTACCTCCGGGTCACGTTCCGGTTCGGCTTTGTCTGATGCTTTGGGCTGTTAACCAAAAATTGATAAAAGAGGCCCATTTTATAGCCTTGAAAAACTTCAGTATTGGCCCATTAATTTCGACTTAAGGTCAAAAACTAAAAGATGTCTTTACAGTGTCTAGTTTAGAACACTCATATAATATTTTTTTCTGATTATTACAATATTTTGATAAATATAGGGGAGATCTGCTTTTTAGATTTTACCAAATTTTGCTCTGTATTCAATGTATTTTAGGGTTTTTTTTTCGGGCAACAAATATTAGATTTTTTTGCCAGATTTTTATATCTATTAACAAGATTACCAATTTATTTTGAGTGGAAATTTTGTGGTAATTACCAAAGCAGAAGACCGTCGTCGAGTCAATATAACCAAAAGAGGAAATATCTTAAGGTGGAAGAAATAAATGTAAATTAGGAAAAAAAAGATAATAGAAAAGAGAGAAAAAAGGGGTCGTTTCGTGGATCTATTTGAATCACTCGAAGGTACAGAGACAAAACCCTTTTTTTCCTCTTCCCCGAAGAAAAACCCTTCTCTTGGCGGCTGCGGCCAAATTTACCCCTTCTCCTTCTCGTTATTTTTTTTTGTATCTCTTAAACCCTAGATTCGATCTGGGTTTTTCTGATTCTGTTTAGGTTTTCTATCTTCTTCTTTTTCTTCTCTCTATTTCTCTCCTTCATCTCTCTCTCTTTTGGTCGCATCCCCTATCTGTCCGAGAAGGATCTATCAATCTTTGTTGTCGAATCTGATCTCATGGCTACCGTTGCTCCACCTGCTGATCGTATCCTTTGTTTATGTTTCTCGATCTGTGTTTTGTTTTTCTCGATCTCCTCGTTTCTCGCTCGATTTCTGCTGTTTGCGTTATTGGATCTTGGATCGAGTTTCGTTCCCTCAGTGCTTCGATTATCATTGGTCTCTCAGATTTATCTGATATAGCGTAGATTTAGTTTGGGTTCTCTAAATATCACTGTCGCTGTTTAGGTTTTCTTTGCCTCTCGTGGGAGTAACTGATGAAAATCGATTATCATCCTGTGGCGGGCAAAGTAAACGAATGTTTGATTTCACAATTTTATATGCTTGCATTTCACTATTCTAGTGGTTTGTTTATGGTGTAATTCTAAGTTCGCACACATACAGAGGTCTTTGTTTCCTTGACTCAACTTGTTTGTAGAAGCTACAGATATGTTGCAGAAGCTAACTTTGGATTCTCAAGCAAAAGCTTCGGAGATCCCTGAGCCAAACAAGAAGGTATGAAGCAGGATTATTTTGTCTGTGTTGCGACCTTTACACTTCCAGTTTCTTTTAACAATCTGTGCTCTTTTGTATTTTTTTTGTTCAGACTGCTGTTTACCAGTATGGAGGTGTGGATACACATGGTCAAGTTCCTTCATTTGACCGATCTTTGACACCAATTCTTCCTAGTGATGCCGTGGACCCTTCAGTTTGCTATGTTCCTAATGCCTACCAGCCCTATTATTATGGAGGTAACTTCATCCTCAATCCCTCGCCTATCTAGATTCTAGAAACACCAATTCACAAGCTTGTTCACCAATGCTTAACAAGTTTCTCGTTTTATTAACTTTCAGGATATGGGAGTGGTCATGAGTGGAGCGACTACACTGGTTACCCAAATCCTGAGGGTGTTGACATGAACTCTGTAAGTGTGTGATTATTAGGTCCGATCTACCTTTCATTCTATTCACATCTGCCCTGTTTGACAGTTTTGATATTTTAACCAGGGAATATATGGAGAGAATGGATCTCTTATGTATCCTCAGGGTTACGGGTATGCAGCATATCCTTACTCGCCAGCAACAAGCCCTGCTCCACAGGTTGGGGGAGATGGGCAGCTGTATGGTGCTCAGCAGTACCAATATCCTACCTTTTTCCCTAGTGGGCCTTTTGCTTCATCTATTGCTACCCCTACCCAGGGGGATCTCTCTGCAAACAAAGCTGGTGGTGTTAAGACGCTACCTGCGGAAAGCAATAATGTTGCAACTGCTGCTGGTATGGCAAAAGGAAGCAATGGATCAGCTCCAGTGAAACCAAATAATCAGACACTTAACACCTCAAGCAATTTGTATGGAAATGGTGCTCCAGGAGGAGGTTTTGCGGCTGGTTATCAGGATCCTAGATTTAGCTATGATGGGTTTTATGGTCCTGTCTCCTGTTACGACGGCTCTAAGTATTCAGATGTGCAGAGGCCTGTTGCTGGTAATGGAGTTGCATCCTCTTATTCTAAGGCTAACAGTGCGCCTTCATCGAGGAATCAAAACTACCGCACAAATTCTCACTACACCGTATGATATCTTTCTATTGTTCTTTGTATTAATAAGCGCTATTGTCTGTTCTGTTGCCGTAAAAGTTGACCCTCAATCAATGTTTTCTCTATGCAGGGTATGCACCAGCCTTCATCAATGACTGGCTACGGTACAGCTCAGGGATACTACAACAGGTTGTCTCAAAGTAAGTTATATGGTCAGCAGTATGGTAGCATGGGGAGATCTGGTATGGGTTATGGTTCTTCTGGGTATGATTCACGAACAAATGGAAGAGGATGGGTGAGCACGACAGACAACAAATACAGAAGCTGGGGAAGGGGTAACAATTACTTCTATGGAAATGAGAACAACGTAGATGGGTTGAATGAACTTAACAGGGGACCTAGAGCAAAGGGCACGAAGAACCAGAAGGGAAATTCAGAAGAGAGTTTAGAGGCTAAGGAGCAGACTAGTGAATCAAATGTAACCGAGGATGTGGAGACGGATAACACATGCATTGTCCCTGACAGAGAACTGTACAACAAAGAAGATTTCCCAGTGGATTATGCGAATGCTATGTTCTTTATCATCAAGTCTTACAGCGAAGATGATGTGCACAAGAGCATCAAATACAATGTTTGGGCTAGTACACCAAATGGAAACAAGAAGCTTGCTGCAGCTTACCAGGAAGCTCAGCAGAAACCTGGCGGATGTCCTATCTTTCTATTTTTCTCGGTTTGTAAATATTCTTGAACTCAAATGCAGTGCTCTTTATATTTTGTTTGATGTGATTAAGCTATATACTCCAATTTTTGTCTTTCAGGTCAATGCAAGTGGACAATTTGTTGGGCTTGCTGAAATGACAGGACCAGTTGATTTCAACACAAATGTGGAGTACTGGCAGCAAGATAAGTGGACTGGCTCCTTCCCTCTCAAGTGGCATATTGTGAAGGATGTTCCAAACAGTTTGCTGAAACATATTACCCTTGAGAACAATGAGAATAAACCTGTTACCAACAGTAGAGACACACAAGAGGTAACAGACCTGTAAAGCTTTTACATTTCGTTAAGGCATGTTCTCGTTCTTTTTTCTTGTGTTGATGTTTCTATTGTGGGGATCGTGTTTTAGGTCAAGTTGGAGCAAGGTTTGAAGATTGTGAAGATTTTCAAGGAGCATACTAGCAAGACTTGCATTTTGGATGACTTTTCCTTCTACGAGGTTCGGCAAAAGACTATCTTGGAGAAGAAAGCCAAGCAGCAGCAGACACAGAAACAGGCAAGAACAAGAAAACATTTTTATAAATTTTTGTTGTAGTCAGTATATAAAGTGTTTGCTCTAACATATAGATGAATTAAATCAACAGGTAAACGAGGAGAAGACTACAACAGACGAGAAAAAGGAATCCGTTACTGCTGATTCAGCTACCAAGGAATCTCCTCCAGCTGCTCCAAGTACCGGTGATGACAAGGTTGCTGATAATGGGTCTGTTCCTAAACCAGATGGTGTGGTGGCTAATGGTTGCTAAATTAGAAGACGTTTGCTCACGGCTTGAGCATAAAATGCAACAAGAGAGAAGAAGATATGAACAATCCCGTTTACAGTTTCTCTTAACAAGTGCCGTGAGCTTGAAGCATGGAAGGAGCTTTAGTACCTGAGACCGATCCGTTTCTCTGCCCTTAGAAGTTAAAATCCCAGTTATTTTTTTTCAATCGTTTCTTGTTCTCTTTTTCCCCTTCTTTTAATCGCAGTGTCTTTACAATTTTATGTTGTTTTTTTTATTCTATTTCATTTTCTGGTTGTTGCTCCTACCCTGTAAAAATGCGTATAGGACCTACTTTATCGTGGGAAGAATTAGATTAAAGGTGATAAAAGCAGGGTGGGATTTGTTTTTCAATTCTGTTGGATTTTAGGCAGAGAGTTTTTTTTTTTTCGTTTTTTGCTCTTCTCTTTCTTATTTGGTTTCTGACTTGGCTCTGTTTAAGTTCATTAAAATCTGAGATTTGATGGTCTTGGCATCTTTTCGTTTTTCTTGCTTTCGTCACTCTCGAAATTTATCCGATTTATTTCGTATTAAAACGATTAATAATTGTTGATTTGCCCGGGAGAAACACATGTCCACCTGTTTTCCTTGATTTATCGACAGTGATTGTTCATAATTAATGACAAACAAGACGAGAACCTTAATTTAAACAAGTATGTGAGAAGTACCAAACCATATTGTCACAAATCTGCTATTGATATATCATGCTGCATGCCAAATCCACTAAAGTAATTAACTAAAAAAGCTAATCAAATACTTGTCTGATCTGACGTGGCTAGATAGCTTCTCCAACGCTTAATCTCGGGAACTCCGTGATAAACTATACCTGTTTTGTTTCAACCAAAGCATCAATTTTCTTCGGTAGTGGGTGATTTTTGCCAGAAAAAGAGTCCAACTTTTTGAAGTTAACGTGTACTTCTCAGATAAATTAGTTGGTGGGTTTCGTCGAAAGCGTCCAACTTTTGCGTAAATGGCGGCTCTTTTAGGCAGATTCTGCCGGCGATCTTCTTTTCCGGTCTGTGGTCATGGATTTAGAATGTTATCGACGATTGAAAACGTTTCAGAAAACGGGAAATCGATGAACCTTTATTCTGCTATCAATCAAGCACTTCACATCGCCTTAGAAACCGATCCTCGGTGAGATTTTTCTTGTAATTTATCAATTTAAACTATATTTTGTTTCGATACATATGGATTCATTTTTATATGAGTTTGGAGTGAAGGTCTTATGTGTTTGGGGAAGATGTTGGATTTGGTGGTGTGTTCCGTTGCACAACCGGTTTAGCTGATCGGTTTGGGAAATCACGAGTCTTCAACACTCCTCTTTGCGAGCAAGGCATTGTTGGTTTTGGCATTGGTTTAGCAGCAATGGTCACTTCTTCTTCTTATTCTTTTGCTGTTCTATTCATCTCTCAAGGCCTCGTTGTATAATCTTCTTCTGGCGAACTGGTTCTTTTACAGGGAAACAGAGTTATTGCGGAAATCCAATTTGCGGATTATATTTTCCCGGCTTTTGATCAGGTAAATGTAACCAAGTTATGATTTTTTTTTTTTACCACAAGAGAGTTTCTCTTTATGGAGTTTTGTGATCTCGTAGATTGTTAATGAGGCTGCAAAGTTTAGATACCGAAGTGGCAACCAGTTCAACTGTGGAGGTGACCATATCTTCTAGTGTATTTTTGGTTTGAGACATCAATTAATCTTTTTTCTTACTCGTTAGGGATTATCTGCAACTTGTAGGACTTACAATAAGGGCACCGTATGGAGCAGTTGGTCACGGTGGACATTACCACTCGCAGTCTCCTGAAGCTTTCTTCTGCCATGTCCCTGGTATCAAAGTAACATCCTCGTCTTCTTCTTTCACTCATAGCTTCGTTTAGGCCGTTCTCGATCATTTGATATAATAACAATCGACTGGTTTTGGAATTAAGGTTGTGATCCCTCGAAGTCCACGGGAAGCTAAGGGACTATTGTTGTCATCTATCCGTGATCCAAATCCCGTTGTCTTTTTCGAACCAAAGGTATGTTCATCTCTCGCCTACACACAAGATAGAGCTTCTTGAGACTGTCGTCAAGAACCTGAGTCTTTGTCTTTCTTCTTCAGTGGCTGTATCGTCAAGCGGTAGAGGATGTCCCTGAGGATGACTATATGATACCTCTATCAGAGGCAGAGGTATATGTGTTCCTTCTCTAATGTCACTTCTTAGGAGATGAGGAATCTCACATTCGAAGACTAACGAAAGAGAAGTTTTGTTCAGGTTATAAGAGAAGGTAGTGACATAACACTTGTTGGATGGGGAGCACAACTCACTATAATGGAACAAGCCTGTCTTGACGCTGAAAACGTTAGTTTTTTAAAATTATTTTCCGCTTAACGTAGTATCTTAGGGGAATCAGATGATTGAAGCACAAAAGTTTTTGCAGGAAGGAATATCATGTGAATTGATAGATCTCAAGACTCTGATCCCTTGGGATAAAGAAATTGTTGAGACCTCAGTGAGAAAGACCGGCCGACTTCTAGTAAGTTAAGCTTCTCGGAATGAGCAGCAATGTCCTAATTCACAGAGAACTAATGTGTTCCCTTTGCTTCTGTTACAGATTAGCCATGAAGCTCCTGTTACAGGAGGGTTTGGGGCCGAGATCTCTGCAACTATTGTTGAACGTTGCTTCTTGAGGGTAAAAACAACATAACCTTCTTTTTTTGTTTCAAGTATACTCTGCAACGTTATCTTTAACTGCCTTAGTGTTTTGCAGTTAGAAGCACCTGTGAGCAGAGTATGTGGTCTGGACACTCCTTTTCCTCTAGTGTTCGAACCTTTCTACATGCCAACCAAAAACAAGGCAAGTTTCGTTTCTGGTTTCTTTACCATGACTCTTAATCATTTCTGTTTCTAATGCTTCCATAGTTAACATTTCACATTTGATGCAGATATTGGACGCAATCAAATCAACTGTGAACTATTAACTTCATCTTTTCGCCAATATGTTTGATTAGTACACTTATGAATATGAGCCTGAATATGATGGATATTGGTGGTCTTTGGAATCTCTATGATATTTATGTATTTATAGAATGATCTAATAGAATCTTAAACCGGAACAAAAAGGTAAGAGTCTGGCTACTTTGAAAGCCTTTGATCAAGGAGAAAATTCTCAGCAGCAAATCCAAGAGGCTAAAGACGGCACAACTATTTTTGCAAGGATCAAACGTCCGACCCTGTTAAAGATAAAACAATAACAATTAGGTTCGTGCAAGTAAATACATTGAAACATCAACCATTACTTAGAGAAATGAGAAAGTTGAAAGGTGTGTGTTACTAACGCTGAATCTTCTTGAACTCTGTGAGGACCGGGTATATATTTTCAAAGGCTTTGTAAGTCTCCGCCCTCATCTGATAGTGAGTGACCTCAGGATTTTTATCAGATGACAGAAGAGCTAGAGAGTGCCATAGCATATGCATTTTTCACAAAACCTAAAGAGAGAGAGTGAGATATATATTACCTTTGCTCCAGTGATAACAATCTTGCCAGACACAAAAATTAGTAGCACAATCTTAGGTACTTTCATCCTGTAAATCAGCCCTGGAAATATCTCAGGCTCGAACTGTCAACAACATCAAAATATATGAGAAAGAGAGGTAATGCACATCGGCACATATTTGTCGTTTAACTACTTAGTGTCTGCTTGAAGTTTGGACAAATAAAGGTTGCAAGTGTTTAATTAGATCACTTACACTTGAGAAAGCACCATGAGATAATGCAAGACCTTCAAGTCTTATAGGGAACTTGACGTCACAGGAACCTACGATATTCTGAATCGTGAAATCCTGCAGGAAAATATGTTAATAATAATAAGTAGTACAAACGGAACTAAGAAACAAAATAATGTCAGATTGGGATAAAGAGGTTGATAGAAAAAGTACCTTGAACTTTGCAGCAAATCCTAGCTTCTGAACAATCCGAGCATACTGAACAATTAAACATCTCCTATCTATAAGCATATATATCATAATTGCCATTACATATGGCTTAAGTAAAGAAGATGAAATTTACCTTTCTTGCAGCAATCTTCGAAGAGTCTTCACTCTTAGCTCCAGTACAGACCTAATATTGGAGGTTGAATTCAGAAGAGAACTCAAAACAAAATAAACAGTTTTAGAATTCTGAAAAAGAATACGGTCAACCAAAGATATAGCATACCATTCTTCCAGTGGCAAAAATTAATGCTGTCGTCTTTGGTTCTCTTATTCTCATGACCACAGCAGCAAATCGCTGGAAACATGAAACACACCATGATCAGATTCTTAAAAAAGATCGAAAAACTTGGCTATGGCCAGTACTAGTTTTGCAAAAGACCAGGTAATATCTCATAAATTCTAATTTAATCAGTAGATAGACCACCACGTCTTCATATCTTTTTCATTCATGACTTGTAAATTGTAATCTCAGGTTGTTAAAAAAAAAAACATAAGAGTAATTAATGCAAAACCTTGGGATTATATTCAGCATTCCGAGCATGCAGAGCTATGGCTTTAAGATCTAGGTCGCAGTCCAAGTTCACCGTTGAGACAATGTTTCTGAAACAAGAAAAAAACATCAAAGAATCAAACACTGAATCTTTAAGGAGACGACAAAAAGACAGAGACATAAGATAACTCACTGAAGAGTGGGAACAATCCCCGAAGGATGCTCAAAAAGGTCCACTGGATTACTCCCTTCCAATACTTCATCAGTCGCCATTGGCCTAAAAATATAGAAAAAAACAAAATCCACACATCAACTCAACATAATTAATATACACTCGAGACGGTCCAAGCTCCACAAGAAAATATGGCTTAGTCTTATAGTTCATTGATCCTATATCATTAATCAGATTGTCTCATTAAAGGGGGTTTCCAAAATTTAGTTTCATCTTCGAAATAATGAAACTCATAAGGTTATATACAATTATGTCCAACCGATTAAACCCTTCCAAGGAAATAAGGTCAGACCTTTCGATAGCGATCAAGTTTAGAAAAGTTGAAGCTTTTATACAAAGAAGATTCTGCGAAAATTGGAGAGGGAAAGAGTTTTGTAAATCGGTGCTTATATAAAGGAAGGCAACCGACTTTGCGTGGCAAAAGCTTTTGGAGTTTTATACCTATATATACGTATGCCTAAGCTACCCTTGACCGCCTTTGTAAGAATAAGGGTATTTTCGTAGAATCCTATTGAGAAGGCTACGATGACCCTTCTCGTTGATTTTTTTATACGAAAGTCCACTCTTATTCAGCCACATCAGCATTCGTGTGTATACTAGAGATTGTGCCTTGCGCAGATTTACTATTGACCTTGGTTATTTTTTTTTTTTCGTCGTCCAATCGATTATAGTCGATAAGCCCATTAAAGCCCATTAAAGCCCATTAAACAAGCAAAGTACAAAAAATTTGAACCCATACTTATTACAATTTGAAGCCCAAATATCAATTTCAAATAAACTCAAAAACAAGAGATAATGATCGACAAAAGAAAAACAGGTTAAATGTCAATTCTCGGAGAGAAGATGCTGATGATTCATCACCGGAGAATTGAATATCCGAAGAGTATTAAACCATCAGGTTAACTCCAATCGAATCTGCATCCACCTCAAATCACTGCTCCTTTGCTGTTTATTTCATCCTCCAATTAGATTCGTAAAGTAATGGCCAGAACTTTAAATTCTCCGATCAAATTTTACCGCCGATCATCTTTGACTCTTTGACTCTAGACTTGTAACCCATCGCAATGTATGGCTTCTATGAGAAATATATTGACTAAAGTTGGGAGTTTGTAATTTTTAACATATCTTTGAGAAAAAAACTACATAAGAATTGTCTACATTTGTGTATTTACAAAGTCGTATTACAATCTTAAAACTGAACATAAAAGTAGATATCAACCTTTGTTAAAGGACAAAATTCTCAGCAAGCTTATCAACCTCGAGGGGCTAAAGACCCTGTCCAAGATAAAAATAAATAAATAACAAATTAGATTCAAGCAAGTAGATATGAAAACATCAACCATTACTGAAAAAGATGAAGGTGTGTTACCATACTATTGCTGGATCTTCCTGAACTCAGTGAGGACCGGGTATATATTCTCAAAGGCTTTGTAGGTCTCCTCTCTCATCTGATAGTGAGTGATTCTCAGGTTTTTTATCAGATGGCAGAAGAGCTAGAGAGAGACATAGCATATGCATTTCTCGGGAGATTATCACACAAACCTAAAGAGAAGAAAGTGAGATTATACCTTTGCTCCAGTGATGACTATCTTCCCAGACACAAAAATTAGTAGCACAATCTTGGGTACTTTCATCCTGTAGATCAGCCCCGGAAACAGCTCAGGCTCATACTGGCACATCAATTGGAGAGAGAGATAACACAATCAGCTCAGCATTTTTCTCTCCAAAATTTCGGCTCTAACTACTTGAAGGTTGCAAATGTTCAGATCACTTACACTGGAGAAAGCAGCATGAGAGTATGCAAGACCTTCAAGTCTTATAGGGAACTTGACATCACAAGAACCTACGATATTTTGAATCTTGAAATCCTGCAGGATGTAACAATGATATATTTTGTACAATACAAACAGAACAAAGAAAAAATATCATGTCAAGTTGGGATAAGAGGTAGGAAGCAAAGCCGAAAAGTTACCTTAAATTTTGCCGGAAATCCTAGCTTCTGGACAATCCTAGCATACTAAACAATAAAACATCTCCTATTAGCATAACACAATGCAGAGCAAATAGCATATTGTCATTATGGCTTAAGTAAAGAAAAAAGCCAGATTCCTTTAAATATTTATAAGCAACTTAACAAAAGACGTTAGATACCAAAAACTACCTTTCTTGCGGCCATCTTTGAAAAGTGTTCACTCTTGGCTCCAGTACAAACCTAATTTGGGATTAGACGCCAAATTGAGAAGAGAGCACGACGCAAAATCTTAATGAAATTTGAATTTAAGAACTATGAAAAGTACGGCCAATCAAGATATATAACTTACCATTTTACCAGAGGCAAAAATTAATGCTGTTGTCTTTGGTTCTCTAATTCGCATGATCACCGCAGCAAAACGCTTAAAACATGAAACACAAAAGCTCTTTAAAATAAGTTAACTTGGCTATGGCTAATTAGTTTTGCAAAAAAAAAAAAAAAATAGATAATATCTTAATTCTAGTTCTAATTTATCAGTACACCACCACTTCTTAATATCTTTTCCTCACTAGTAATCCAATCCAGGCCTCAGGTAACAATAAGGTCGACACTTGAGAGTACTCATTTCAAGTTAACAGATCAATTCCAAACAATTATTGTTTTCTCGATTACTAAAACAAGAATGTCACAATAATGCAAACCTTGGGATTATATTCAGCATTCCTAGCCTGCAAAGCTATGGCTTTGAGATCTAGTTTAGTGTCCAAGTTCACCGTGGAGACGATGTTTCTGAAACAAAAAAAACATCCACGATGAAGTTATCCACAGGGATTAAACACTAAATCATAAGAGACTCACTAAACAAAAAAACTCACTGAAGAGTAGGAACAATCCCCGAAGGATGCTCGGCAAGGTCCACTGGATTACTCCCTTCCAATCCTTGATCAGTCATTCTCCTAAACATTAAACAAAACCAAACCCATACATCAACTCTTGTATATCATCGCATTTGATTATGCAAGAACCGGTATAAAAGCCGATTTGGATTCATCTAAGCTATGAAACTCATACGATCCAAACGAATTGAATAGCCCATCATAAGGGTAATGAAAAGTTACAATCATCTCCGACCGATTAAACCCATGGAAGGAAGGAAAAAAGTTTAGACCTTTTTGATAGCAATTCCGACACGGATCTAGGGTTGCGTTGTCGGAAACGATTAGGCGAGATTCCCGGTCGAAATTCGGCGGAAGAAGACGAAAAATTGAGGCTTTTATACAAAGATCTGAGAATTTTAGAGGGAAAGAAATTTGTAAATCAGTGCTTATAAAGGGAGAGTGATTTCGTTCTCTCTCGCTTCTCTCTTATGAAAGAGGTTTTTTAGATCTGTGAGAGGCTATCGATTTGCGTTTTGGAATTGGTTAGCTTAAGGACATTTATAAGGTATATATAGATGCCTAAACTACCCTTTACCGTCTTTGTAAGACCGAGGGTTGTTCGGGCAATTCAAGTGAGAAGTCTATAATGACGGTACTCGCTGGATTTTTACGTGAAAATCCAATATTATTCAGCCACGTAAGTTCTCGATAATAGGCATGAACATTTGGTTTATTTCGGTTTAGATTTTTGGAGAATTGGGTTTTGAAAAATAGATTCCAAATAGATTTGTATCTTATACTTTAATTCGGGACCAGTTGGGGTTTAGATAGAAAAAATACAATAAAATAAACTTAATTAATCTCAGTTATTATTTCTATTTATTTTAAACATTAATGACCTATAAATGCCATGTTAATTTTGCTGAAATTCACAAAATCGGGTTTGGTTCCGAGTTGAGTTTGATGAGGATAATTCAATTATACAGTGCTTTTCTTACTAATCAGTTGCATAATGAAACTCGGATTAGTAAATTTGGGTTCAACTCTAATCAAAAATAATATACAGGCGAGCTTTACTAAATCAAATCATAGGTATGACTAGACCAACACATAACCGGATTTTCATAAAAATTAAACACAAGAATATTCACGGTTAAGACTTAACGCAGTGTTTACAACATGGTAAACAAAGAATGCATCTGAGCTCAAGCCATGTTTCCAGTTATCATCGCCGTTGATTCTCCATAAACGATGAAAACGACCGTGAAAACTGCGACATAAAGACCTCCTTGTCCAGACTCTCCTCATCTTTGTCTCTCCAGAACTTGAGAATAAGAAGATTCTCCTCGTCTGTCGATCTCTGAACCACGATTCTAAACGCATAACCTTTCTTTCTCATCATCAGACAGATCTCAGCAGGGAGATTTGAAGTCAATGTCACCAAGTAGAACCAACCTTTCTCTGAAAGCAAATGATCAACTACAGGCAAGATCTTGTCGATGACGGTCCGGCCATTTTCTCCTCCGGCCCAAGCAGAGGCAATACCTTCCATACCAACTTCGTATTCAGGTGTTGGAACATAAGGCGGATTCACAACCATCACATCTACTGAGCCAGCAAGCCTATTCTCTAAACAAGAAGCTATATCCGTGCAGATAACATCAGCTTCGACTCCATGTGCTTCTAGAGTTTCATTCGTCACTCTTGCAGCTATCGGGTTTGTGTCGGTTGCTAGATAATGAACACCTGGAACTTCGTTTTTGAGGAGAAGGATAAGTGATGTTATGACATACCCGCTTCCACATCCGATTTCCATACAAATCTTGGGGTTATGTTCTATCAGGTTGGTTCGATCAGTGAGTAATGCATCAACTAGAGCAAATGAATCATCACATGGTTCGTAGACCTCACGATGCGAACTTACGAGCCGGATTTCAGCTATTCTTGATGGCATCTCGTAAAATGACAGGCTACAAGAAGAAACCACCACAGAAGTTAGAAGCTTTTTTAACTCTGAGAATGTGTGTTCCATATTCTCAGAAAAATGAACAAGCTTTACACAGTTTCTCTGAAAATGGAAGAAGAATCAAACGAAACCATAAAGGAATTGATTTGACGATCCATGATGGTTCCGCTCGGGAAAATCTGGATAATTTCAAATGGGTTTTTGATCTCCTAATCAATATCTTCCTAGGGCAGAATTTACGATAAGCAAAATCATTCTTCCAAAACTAGCTAGGACTGGATTATGAATTCTCTGAAACTCACCGATTCTCTGATCAAATTCCTAATCATCAAATTAACTTAAGAAATGAACACAATCTGAGATTAGCTATGGGCTGTTCTTCTTACGCAAAAAGAATCTGCGAAGTTCTAGTAAGACATGAAATCCGATACATCGAGAATAAGACGAGAGTTACTCACTGAAGAGAGTAAGGATTATCCCGAATGTGTTGGAGAAATCGAGCTTTTCGTGAATCCTCGTTTTGGGTGTTCTTCGAGATCTAGAGTTTATTCAACTCGAGAAGAGGAGTAGAGAAACATCTCAGACGATAAATTACACGAACAATGAGGCGACGGCGACGGCCGAGAAATTAAGAGTCTGACAGGAGGAAGAAAACTAGAAGTTGAAAAACATACCTTTAAGTTTCAATAATTACACTTTATCCCCAAAACTAACATAACAGTATAATTTGAACCTTCCAATACGTCTATTGAATAACGCGAGCCGTATGATTTACACTTTTGATGGGATCTTTTTTTTTCTTTGATACAAGTCTTCTTCATTATCTTGTTACGCACATCAAAAGTTCAAAACTAATCATATATATCATTTTACTCGCACATATTTTTTATTTACACATGAATCAAATTATTACGACTTGCTAATTTTCCGGCTTTTGGAAAATGGAATGATGGTGTAATTGTAAGATGCCATTAAGAAATTAGAACGTACGTGAGACTCTTTTTTTCTTTTTGCTCCTTTCTCTTTCTTTTTTCCTTTCTATTGGTATAAACAGAATACAAAGTGTAACTGTTTTGCCAATTTATTTTTCCTCCTCCGTTGTTGTTTATTATCTGTTTTTAAAACTATATATAAAACAAATTTTTTTTAAATCGGTCCATATATCTAACCAACCACGATTCATAAACAGCAGCTCTGAATGTGCATAAATTTCATGCAGCCTTCGCCTTGGCCTTGCTAGCAACATTGACGCGCAGGTCTTGACTTACTAGGTCGTGCTTCTATAACCACTGTTAAAGGATTGATGTTAGTCATATGAAAGAATAAATATGGTGCCAAATCTTAACATTTAGACCAAAAAAAAGAAATATATATGGTGCCAAGATAGGGTCTAGTTGCGTATATGCCAAAGGTTTTTTTTTTTTTTTAAATGACCCTTCCAATTTTGTTAAAAGGCTCTAATATTAATGTTTGTTTTGGGGCTGAATATTATGTTGAAACGGGTCTCTAAGGAGTAATTTGGATGATACACCTATTTTTAGTAAAAAATTTCGGATGATACATATCGAAACTACTTACAAAGTTTACGGATTTGGTATGGCTGAGTTGAAGCTGCATAAGATGCAATCACCAAAGAGAGAACCAAAAGTAAAGCAAACAACCACAACTTCCCATTCATTTTCTTCTATCTTTGTTTGTAGTTGAAAAAGTTCTACGTATGTATATGTGTATTTATATACCAATTCAGAGTCAAAACATGAGGCTTAGAATGAGACAGCGTGTAGAAATTGAAACCAATATAGTCTAACCTGAAGAAGAGTCTTCGACGTAGACAAACATGTTAATCATTTACAACTTGTGAACATACTCATGTAAGATCCCATAACTTCACAAACTTTCCAACAGAGAAGTAATCTTCTTATTAATAGGTATAGAGTACGTAACTTTTTGGTTGCCCAAAAAACAAAAAAAAACTTCAGAAACCTTCTTTGTTGATAACTTCTGTCAAGATTTTTTTATACACACATTTTTCCTAGGTTTCCCATTTTTTCTTAAGCGAGAACAAATAATAAGCGACGGTTTACGACGAGATGTTCCTTTGTTCGTCGCCTTGTGCTTTCTAGCAACATTGGTCCGCTGGTGGTGATGTACTACGCCGTGCTCCTATAACTCCGACTAAATAAACTTAAATTAGACGTTAATAAGTCATATAAAGAGGAAAATATATATAGAACAAACATATAATGATCCAGTATGTATTACTCACTGAGCTTGCGGAGTTCGTATGGCTGAGCTGAAACCCCATAAGAGGAAATCACCAAAGAGAGAACCAAAAGTAAAGCAATCAACCACAATTTCCCCTTCATTCAATCTATTTTTGTGTTGATAGTCGATTTTTTTTCTGTGTACGTCATAATTAAGATTTGCGTTATATGCATGTGTTTGTATTTATATGAATCAAACATGTGATTAAGTTTAATCATATATCAATAACTAATTAGATGGAGCTTTCGAATGACTTCATTCATTTTTAAATTTTAAATCGTTGATGATTCAAAGTCTATCCCTGTAATAGTTTCTTTTGATTCATAGATTATCTTGTAAAAGAAGTTATAGAGAATGCTGATTAAAAAAAGTTATGAAGAATAATAAAATATGTAGCTTTTCTTATGACGAATTTCAAATAGCGCGTGAAACGCGACTTGGTAAAAAACATAAAATATAGACATAAACTATAGGTCTGATTTGTTGTGATTGGAAGAAATTTACTGTTCAGATAATCGAGCTCATTCACACACACGTTTAGGATTTTATGTTTTGAATTCATACTACGTAGTTTTTGAGAAGAAAATCTAACGCAACGGTGAAAAATGCAAATATATCTTCCAAAAACATTATAGATTATCCCGGTACGGAAATAAAAACCTTATGAAGTGGTGACGTTTTAGTTCAATGGATCTTTTGTTTTTTTATATATATATATATATATATATTATCGTGCCCCGATGGATTTATAATTGTATACTTAGTGGCAAATACAAAACTACAGCTTTTGAAACATTTGTCTAATCGCCACTGCCTTTAATCGAAGTCTTTTTCTAAGACATTTTAGAATAATTACTCATTTTTTTGTGGGTTACTTCTCTTGTTTTTTTTTTTTTTTTCTGGGTACTATTGAGAAGAAAATATAAACACAACATATATGATGTCATTAGGATTCATAAACCACAGTACAAAATAACCAAAATAATAACATATGCAAATTATAGATATATGTATATATTGTACATAGTCACCTTAAAAAGCTAATCGCCATTTCCCGTGGAGGACGGATTTTAACAAGGTCTACCTTTGCGTGTGGTGTGCGGATTGGTACTCCCTTGGCCCGCAGATGGCGACTTACTACACGGTGTTTCAATAGCTTCTTCTATACAAGACAAATTAAAAGTAGATTACTTGATAAAAATAGCAGGCAGCAGCCATGTAACAATGGCAAATAGATATTTTCTAGTTTATTTGTATGATATCCAACTATTAAATACTCTAATAAATTCATAGTGTTTAACAATAAAATGTCATATATCTAAACTGGGTTTTAATGACATATATACATGTATTTAGATATGTGGAATCAATCGGATGATAAATATGATCAATACTACTCACTGAGTTTGCGGAACTCATATGGCTGAAGTGAAATTGCATCGGATGAAAACACTAACAAGAGAAGCAAAAGAGAAGCAATCAACCACAACTTTCCCTTCATTGTTTCTTCGATTTTTGCGTATTCCTTTGTTTGGGCATGTTAGAAAGTTTTATGTATAAGATATAAGAATTAAGATGTATGTGTATTTATAGCAATCAGGACGTGTGACCAAGTTTCATTGTAATTTGTATACTAAATAATAGATGAATTTTTCGAATGATAGCATCGTCGACAGTCGTTCCTTTTTTTTTTTTTGGTCGACAGAGTCTTTCCTTTTTTTTTGTCGACAATCGACAGAGTCTTTCCTAAAAGTAGTTTTCTCATATGAATCTTGTAATTTTTTTTTTCAATAAATTATTTCATCGTCAACTAACGAGAGGAAAATATACAACTGGCATAATCAGACTTCATCCTTGAACACATTGTTACCAGGTGTCACGAGCATGAACATCGTTATCTAGAGATGTGTTTTCACGTCCAATTACACAGAAGACAAGGTCAAGCTTACATAAATAAATTTAGATTTGCTGACAACTTGGTTCGTTGACAATTTCTTCTTCCTTTTTTTTTTTTTTTCTTCGCTTTTGTATTTTGTATATGCAGAGTCCAGGACAACACCCACACACAAAGAAAATTTTTTTTTAGGGATCTGAGGAAAGAGTGAAACATATAGGAGCCGTACGTCGGTCCATGTCTAAATTAATTATCTTATGATTCTTTTTTCACTTTGCTTAAACTATAATCAGAAGGAAAAAGGCATATTTGAGATTATATGATGTAGCCGCAAATCGTATAGCCATCGCCTTAGACTGCGTTTGGGCCTGGGGCTTCTGGCGACTCACTCCCACCCCATTGGCTATCGGGCGGCGACTTACTACGACGTGCTCTGATCTTCATTATCTTTCGAATGTGAATCGTTTCTGCTATTTTCTCTTCTTCTATAAAGTTTTAAGAATCAAAAGATATCATTCTTAGTTTTTTTTTCCGTTAGTGGTAACCTAATATATATAGGAAAGATATAAATAATTCAAATAATACTGTACTTACCGGATTTGTATGATTGAGCTAAAACGACGTATGACGAAAGCACCAAAGAGAGAACCAAAATCAAAGCAAACAAACAGAACTTGCCGTTCATTTTTTCTTATTTTCTGGTGGTAAGTTTCTGTAGTGTGTGTCCCATGTGCATAGATGCTAGATCGATATATATCAGTCAAATAATATTGACTTAGTTTTATCGTAAGATATATTAAACAATGGTTTCACGCAAAGACTTCTAAATAATCATATATACATATACTGATATACATATATAGCGGATATAATCATAAAAGTCAAGATCTGTGCAAGTTTCTGGGAAGATTAAACTCTATATAAACGCTCTATATCTTTTGGCTCAAACGAAATAAACTTTAAAAAAAACTCTTTCTAACATTTTTAAGTTCACTGAGTTTTTTTCAAATTGATGAATTTTATCTTGATAAAGATAGTTTTATTCTCGCTATTTTTAAAATAAACTGATCGAAGCATATTGAAAAGATAAACTGATCAAAAATATACACAGGTCAAACAAAAATTCATTTTTTTTCCTCGATTTGTCTTTTTCTTTCACATTAGGGCTCACAAATAAATAAACAATACAATATCTTGAATTTGAAGAAAAAATAATAATATAAGCGATATATTACAAATGCGCATCGGCCGGTTCGTCTAACCACCTTAACCGGAGCCCGGGGAAGCTCCTCTGTTGGATGGTGAGCCTTGGCCCGCAGGCTTCGTCACACTACCTGGTGTTTGGATCTTCTTTGTCTTGTGAATATGATCTCTTATTTCGTCTTCTACAAAAGTTAATGTACGAAACATATTGGCTAGTAAATTAAAATTTAAAAGCAAATCGAATGATATAAATACTCACTGATTTTGCGAATTTTATATGGTTGAGCTGAGGCCGTCTTCGGTGAAACCAGCAAAGAGAGAACCAAAAGCGTAGCGATAAACCACAACTTGCTCTTCATTTTTGTTTTATACTTGTTTTTTGTTTGTGGGTTACGTTAATAGAAAGCTTCATGCATATGTGTCTTTATATCAAATTAAAACATACTATAAGGTTCATTATGATTATCATATATGAATTCAATTTCAAATTTTAGCAATCTTTAATTAGTTCAAAACTTTGATGACGCAAAGGCATTCTCAATAAAATAGTTTCATTCTAAAAACATGGATTAATTATATCTTTAAACTAGATGTAGAAGAGAACTATATCCTTTGTATAAGTAATCTATGATAAGAATAGCCTGTGAGAGAAGTTTTAAATAAATATATAAAGTACTTATAGGAAAAGGTCAATTATGCTTGTATATGAATCAAGCTTATTCACTCAGTCTTCTTGATTTAAATAACCAAGATATTAAAAGAGCGATAAAAAGTCGACCGAAACCAAATCGAATAGTCGAGATGGCTAATTGAAATTGTAAACGAATTAAGATATTATTGACAATTATCAACAATTTTTGAAAAAAATTATTTTGAAAAAAATTATTGATTCGTCTGTAATAATATCTTCATTAGTTCCATGATCTTAATTAACTAACATATTTCGGAGTTTTATCAATTCGGAGTTGTAGAATCATTGCGATATTTTTGAAATTGCAGAACTATTACATATTAGTCTCAAAAACCGTTCATTCTGCAGACTACTATTCAAAATACAATAGTGTCATTGTGTTGCGTTTAGCTAGTTTTATGTACAAACGCGTATAGGTCAATCCTAGCTTTGAGTTGGCATGTGCAGTATACAAGTGTGTTGTATACCACATTTTGTCCAATAAGAACACTAAAAAGTACTCACCGAGTTTGAGAAATTTGTATGGTAGAGCTGAGACCGCCTCCGACGATGAAATCACCAAAGAGAGAACCATAACATTTGACTAAGGTTCAATTAATATGCTAATGGAGCTTTCGAATTACATACTCTCTTTTGCTTCTATAAAACATTTTTTTTTTTCATATTACCGCGTTAAGAGCTTTGAAACTAGTCAAGCAACCATGCTTTTAATATAAGACACCCAAGACAAGATCAAGTCTTCTGCTCAAAGAAATCAACAAAAGTTTGGATTAACTACATAACTGAGATATTTCGTTATGATTCTTCTATTTTTGTTATGAAACTAATCGGATCATGAGATTTGATTTTGAAACAATCAAAGAACGAACATAGAAAAGTCAAACAAACAAAAAGACTCGTAATTATTTCGAAAGCATCCACTTTTCCACCGAAATTTGAGAAATTATGTGCAGCCAAATAACAACAACACCACTAAGTAATAACTAATCACAAAATCCTTCACCACAACTATCTTCTGTTCATTGACCTCTCTCACATTGTGCACCTTACTTAGCTAGCTGATGAATTGTTTGAACCTGACTCTAACGATGTTCCACTGCTCTCTGTAGAAGCAACACTGGTATCGACATTGTTACCATCGTTTCTCGAAGTCTCTGCATCGGTCTTTGGCTCATCATCATGACCTGTTGCAGGAAGCAGACATCTGCACACAGGGCATGAGCTATGAAGCTCAAGCCATGGCAACAAGCAGTCACTGTGAAACCTATGCTTACACGGCATCTCTTTCGCAACCATCCCAATCTCAAAATCATCCAAACACACAGTACACTGCAACAAACTCTCATCGATCTTCACCGTCGCCAACGACTCAACCGCTGCTTTTGTAGCCGGAGGTGTCCCATACCTGTTGTTAGTGTCATTCTCAGCCAAACGCTCAAGCAACGTCTCGAATCCAGGTCCAATGAAGTAATCACCCAAAGATCCAGAAGGAGGAACAGAGTTTGCGTCGTTGTCAGATTCTTGAATCCTCATCCTCTGGTTAAACGAGTTGATCAAGACGACAAGCTCGTTGTCCGAATTATCCTCGTTGCTCTCGGACACAACAGATAAACCTGCTCGAATCCCTTGAAGCAGATCAAGGATCGCAGCCGAATGGCTTCTCCTTCTCCTCATAATCTCATCGAGCTGCTGATCCAAATCAACCTCACCATCATTGTTCTGCTCATCATTATCATCATCATCATCTTCGTCTTCAAGTGTGTCGCTCTGGTTTCTTGTGTGGTGGTCATGATTATTCATCATCCCGATCAAGATCGGAGCCCAAAGAGAATCCGCAGCCTGATGATGATCATCATTTTCATTGGTAACCGAGTCTTGAGCATTATCCATTTCTTCAACAAATCCACCTTGACAGAGATTGCAATTGATGATCTCGCCTTCAATTTCTGGATTCACCGATCTCTCGCACATGTGACACCAATACCTAGTCTCGCTTGCAGCCTCCATAGCTATTCCTTGTTCTAATCTCTCTGCTCATAGTCGAATAAAACACTGAGAATTAACGAATCGTTCATCCACATGAAAATGCATTTAGGTATCGAACCCTGGAATCAGAAATTTGATGAAAGAAACAAAAAAAAAACCAGCCAGAAAAATTATCATCAGCAGAAAATTTGAAAGTCTTATCGAAAGTCAATCGAATCATTCCATTAACAGAAAAAATGAAAATCTCGAATCGTTTTACTCATTACACTCAATCTCGGAAGAGTTTTGCAGATTTGGGATTTTAAACGAGGAAACTCGAACAACAGAACCCAGAAATTAAAGAGAAACAAAAAATCAGAATCTTCCTTGATAAGAGAATCGGAATAGGGTCGAATAACTTACCACTTGAAAACCAAAAAAAGAAAAAAAAATCACGCGGAATCCGAATATCCAAAGAGTAGAAAACACTGGAGCGACACAGAACGATTTCTCAGCAGAAATGGATCATCCTCGAGATAATTTGGAATTGAAAGAAGAGAAGGTCCAATTTTTGTAGCTAGTGTCTGAAAACGGCTGGAGATCCACGCAGACTTTTTTTTTTTGAGTCTTTGACCCTTTTTTTTTATTATTACCCCTTAATATAAGCTAATCTAATCTAATCAGCTAATACTATTAGTCAGACGTGGATAAGTTTTCGATTTTAGGTCAAAAGAAATTAATTTGCACACGAAATCATTATATATTTACTAGGCGGCTAGGCCCAATTGATTAAAAACAATATTCTTCCGCAACGCTGGTGGTTCAACATCAGGCCCCATGACCAGAGCCGGATAAATTAAATTTTATTTTCTTTCTTTCTTTTATTCTCTTGCGAATTTTACAAAAGTTAGGCAATATACAGTCCATGTTGGTACTTCAAAATCTGGAATGTGGTTTTAACATCTTGCTCATCTGCAATAATTTTAATGTGTAAAAATATCTTTCTTTATGCTAGTCCTCCAGTGCACCTCAAAGGAATGTATTCTCCATGTACAAAAAAAGAATGCTGATGTACATCTATGTCAACCCCATATCTATCTATACAGTTGTTTCGACTAAAATGAATGTTGAAATGGCAACTAAAAGGCGGTTCCTACTTGTCACCCGATATGTATAACCTCGGATCTACATTCTTCAAAAGTGGAAACAAGAGTGGACTTAGACTGTTGAAATGAAGTTGCTCAATTCAAAAAAATGTCTTCCTGCAAAAGTGACAAAACCAGTTGGAAACTGTCAACCAAATGTGAGAAGCTAAGAGCAATGCTGCAAATAGGAATGTAAATTTACCCTAACACATGCAAGGGATATAATAGTAAGAGCACAAAAGGCATAGTTAGTACCTCGACCATTAAGTGTTGAACCAACGGAGACTAGAATCAAGGGACTCCAAGGATCTAGATAGCCGAGACTTATTTCCAGAGGTTTCTGCAGCAGATGATGGAGATCCTTTGTAAATGTCTTCATTTGAATGATTTTTAATCACCTACAATAGGATACAAAAGCATTAAAAAAAAAAAAAAAACAGTTCCTTGCTGGCTGTGTAATTATTAGAGTGATGTCACAACAAGAATAGCAGCATATTTTTATGTACTATCAAGGCTAATGGAGGGTCTTGCTTGTTTTGTGAGAAACATGTTGCAGCTAAGCTAGAGTGCTAAAGAGCTAAAGGCATAGTCGCTATCTAAGATTAATCTAATTCTCAGATGATTGCATCCACTACAGCTTCAAAAATATTAAAGCAAGAGTCAGAAAACTCTTTATTTCCCATCCATAAATGCAATTGGCAGATTAAGCGAACATCATGAACCCTGTTGTATAATTCCTAACGCTCTAGTTCTGAAAACTTAAACAAAAGAAATAGAGGTATAAAATAAATAAAACACCTGTTTTCCCTTGGGAGAAGTGATATTGCTTTGGCCTTCATCAAATAGAGGAGTGTAGTAGCCTGGTTCGTGGATAGCATCTCGCAAGATTTCTTCAGAACGTGAACGTTGCTTAGCTATAGCAGGAGTCTCTAAGAAGCTATCTCGTAGATCATGACCACGTGAACATTGCCTAGCTAAAAGAGGAGGTTCTAAGAAGCTATTCCGTAAATTTGAATCTGGTTGACAGGGAAGAGAAGTGTCAACAATGGAAGCTCCCAGCCTATAAATCTGAAACCATAACAGAGAGGAGGATAGCCTCAAAACGAACCCAGAAATCTCCATAGCCATGGTGAGTTTCACTGAGAAGATGTAAAAGGCTTGATACATCTCAGATGAAATGTTCCTGCAAAGCAAATTTACAATTATAGTGGCTCAACAGAATCTGAACAGGACATAGCAAAGATTTGAGATTTTAATGATGAGTCATTTTAAAAAGATAATGAGCCAATCAAGAATTTGTTATACAGTATGCGTTGCAAAATTTAAACAAGCCATATAAAAATTTTAAACCAAAAATTTGTTAATGATCACAACTCACAAGCAAGGCTGTTTCAAGAATAGTAGTTACAGTACCAAATCTCATTGGAGAAGAGTATGAACCATGAGATATCAAGAAGAATGGCGCAGAAAAGAAGAAACGCATAGGTCCGTCCAAGGCTCTGGCTATTGCTCTCAATTGCAACGAGCGCAAATAACGCAATCGCCAAATTTATCAGTAAGACTCCATTGTACAATGCCCCTAGTGCACCGATCATCGCGCACCCTATCTAAAACCATTGGGCAAATGATTCATCAAGATGAGTTCCTTGCACTTACAAACACAAAGAAATTGAAAACGAATCGAGGAACCCTAGGCCCAACTAGATACGACGAGTAAAAGCGAGAAAATCGGAGGAATTGAACGATCTCAAAGCAATTTACCTGCGCGTAAAGAAGGATCACGACGAGAGATTGGAGTCTAACATAGTCACTAAGCCAAGTATGTATTCGATTTCGTAACGAATCACAAAGCATTGTAAATTCTCCTCGTTACTTGTTACTCCGATGTCGCTTCATCGAGAAAAAACATATACAAAATGGCTCGAAGATTCTGCTATTGAAATTGTTGAATTCCAATTCCCTCGAACGAAAGCGAGAAGAGTTGAGAATATTGGTGAAGGAAGAAAGAGTATTAGTTTCTTTGGCGGGATCGCGTTGCAGAAGAGGAAAGGAAACATTCTTTAGGTGGAGAAATTAAAAAGAAGATTTAAGGAGGTTTCTGTTTCTTGTTCGTTAAAAATTTGGGGCGTATCTTTGAATTTGAGCCCACTCCAGCTCAAAACGCCAGACCGGTTATCTCAACTAAACCAAAACCCGGCTTACTTTCGGTTTTTGATTTTTGTTTTTTTCTTCCTGAAACGACGTCGTAAACACTCTACATGTCGACCTCTCTCTCCCAAGTCTTGTACTCATATGTGTCGCCCAGATTTGACGATCAGAGAGATATGAATCTGCCCTTTCATTCGATTTGAAAGTTGTGATAAAATAAAATCTATTGATCCATCGATTTCTGGAAGCGATCTCGATTCCACAGGTTTATACTTATGTTTCAATTTGTTGATTTTGTTTCGCAAGGAGCGAGGAATTGTTCGATCGCGATTGATTTAGTTTTTTTTCCTTCCTCTCGTAGGATTGATTGTTCGTCGACGAAGATGATGAAGATGCAAATTGGTGTGGTGGCATTTCTGGTGACTCTCTCCATAGCCTCCCTCGTAGAATTTGGATTGGCTTCTCCCAATACCGTTCCTGCTTTCCTCTGGTCTCCGCATCTCCAGTTATGCCTCTCTGTCTCTCTCTTTATACTTAGCGTGCTTTTCATTGTATAAATTATCGCGAGAAAATCTACAAATTTCTGTGCTTTCGGTTGTGTAAGATATATCTAATGTATAGAAAGCGTGAGAACTGTCATGTGTTATCTGATCTGTTGTGTGATTCAACTGCTTGAGAAGAGTAGTGGTTTAATCTGCCTATGTGATTCTCAAAACCAGGCGTGCTAATGGTGAAATGGATGAGGCTGTAAATTATCAGGTCATGTCTGCAAAGGATCTAGTAGCGTCTGTTTTCACTCAAGGAGGCTGGTCTAACTTTCTGGTATGGTTTCTTCTTATGTTCCTATCTCTTCCAGGAGTACAGGATTTCGATTTTCCAGCTCACACTTGGTTTTCTTAATTTCATTTTACTGTCTCCTTTGTCTAGTGCTCAGAGAAGAAACTTGAGCAGCCTGTTGATGTCGCTCTTGTGTTCATCGGCAGAGAGGTAAGAATATATAGATTTTTTTTTTTATCTATGAACGAGCTGTCATGTCTGTATGAGTGAAGGATGTGGGATCTTCGTTTTATCATTTTCATAAATGACCATATGGATCTTTGGTTTCTTGTTGTTATATGTGAAGAAAATTATGTCTTTAGAAATGAAGCGTCTTTGTTCTGCATCTTGTGTGCGATGCTGAGAATTCTAATGTTCACATTCTCTTCCGCCTGCAGTTACTGTCTTCTGATGTTTCTTCAAAAAAGAACTCGGACCCTTCCCTTGTTAACACATTGAATGTAAGTCCCAAGTTTTCCTTTCTTCGAAACAAAATTCTAGTATTACCTCCATAACACAGATCTTTGACATAGTTGTTTGTTTTAACCCCCCACCACAATACTTTAACATCGATATCCTTGTTTCAACAGAATCTATTTACAGCCTCCAACTTCTCATTGGCATTCCCATATATCGCTGCGCCAGAGGAAGAAAGGATGGAGAATTTGTTGCTTTCAGGGCTTAAAGAAGCGTGCCCTCACAATGTAGGAGTCAACAATATTGTGTTCTCAGATTCTTGCTTTGTTGAGGATGGAGCAATTCAGAAACTATCAGACTTGCAGTCTTTCAAAGTAATACTCATCTCCCTTGTGTTTATGTTTTTTCTAATCCTATGCCTACTCAATTCTATCATCCCTTCATTTCACTCAAAAATTACTCTGAAATAATTGACAGGATCATTTGCTTGCTAGAAGAGAAACAAGGAAAGATGGAGAAACTGACTTGGTTGTGCTCTGCTCTGAGGGTTCTGAATCAAATAGTCAATCTGGCCAGCCACATTCAGAGCGTAAGTGGAAAGATCGTTATTGAAAAAGCACTTAGATAGTTTGAGAACAAAGAACTTAAGCAATTCTGTGACCCTATTCTGCAGGTGAAAGCATCTCCGAACTTGTTAGTTCTGTGGAACAATCTGGCAGTAAATATACAGCTCTATATGTTTCTGATCCTTTTTGGTACACATCTTACCAAACTCTCCAAAGGTTTCTAGCTGAAAGTGCTACAGGAAACAGCACTGTCGGTGTTACTACAACCTGCGATGAACTCTGCAAATTTAAGTCATCGCTTTTGGAAGGCATACTAGTGGTGAGAAGTTACTCTTTAACTCCTTTAGCGCTTCTGGCTTCTGTTTTCATTGTTTTAAACCAAGATTTATGAATATTATAAAACTGACTGCAACTCATCTGACATACGTTGATTAGGATAAAGCTAATATGATTCCATCAGTAAAAGCCTCTGATTATGTCTCTTCCTCGTTGTGATTTTCTTTTTTTTTTTTTGCAGGGAATCGTTTTCCTTCTCATCTTGATCAGTGGACTTTGTTGTATGGCGGGTATCGATACACCGACTAGATTCGAGACTCCACAAGATTCTTGAGCTGTTGACCCCTTAAGAATCATCCCCACCTTTTGCTTTGCTTTTGCTTGTGACGGATCTTTTCTTCTGCATAGTGCGTATGGTGAAACTTCAGTGTCGATTGTTACATTACTTTTAAAAAACAAAATTTGCATAAGCGATAAAAAATTCCCCTTGTAACATTTATTCATCTTGTTTGTGAGTCTTTCTTAAACGTTATAAATTAATAATGGAGAACGAGTAAAAACCAGAGAGACAGTGGAAGGACTACATTCTTTTATAAAATTTGCTATTTCTTTCTCTATCTTTATACATATATCTTATGATTTTATACAGAGTTTTCTTGTTCGTATATCAATTTTGGGATTTGGACATAGATTTCATGGAATAACTCCGTACACCGATATTTTGGTAGAGTCAGAGTGATAGGACATGTTTACTAGCATTTGTGGAGTTCTTACTTTTTTGGGTTAAGGTGAAGTTAACGAGAAGAAATGATTCAAGAGAAATTACATAGAAATATATAGATGGTAGTCTTCTGAATAACTAATAAAATGATAAGAGTATATTTTTTCTATGAAGTAAAATTAATGTTTGACAAAAAAAGTAACATTAAATAAAACGTCTTAAATGGATTAATAAGATTTCTTAATGTGGCATTTACACATTTAAAATGCGATATCATGATTTGTTTCACCTGGAAACCTAAGTTATCATAAATATTTCTATTTTGGTATAAGATTACGGTCTATTGTTTTTGGACTCTATGATTCAATAATTTGCAAATTCATCATAAGCGGTCCTTGTGGTCCTGCATGGACCTATTGACAAAGTCATAAGATCAATCTTTCAGATTCTCTGGTTGACCCATCTCTCTCCATAAAGAAGAGCATTTATAGGAAATAAAAACAAAAGGGTTCTGTTCATCTTTTTAACATTATAGTTCTCCATTTCTATTAGTGTAAAATATAAAATAAGACATGTCTATTCGTATCCCGCTTCTTTCTTCAAACTATAAAGTATAATTTCGAAAAAGTTCCATAAGCAAATCTATACCTATCTTTGACAATTTTCTTTCCTTTACCGCCACATAATTTCAAGTCTAGAGATTAAGAAAAAATTAGAAAAAAACGCATGAAACAAAAACTCTTTTGGTTTTCCAATAATTTTTTTTATATTAAAACTACTAGATTCTGCATGAAAATAATATAGAGGGAAGCACATGAGTCATAGGGGTTTGAGCCTAAAGAGCAGTGAGAATCCCATCGCCCTGCCACTCCACCAACTGACATCACATTGTACCCATTTTCTTCCTCTTTTTCCCCCAAGTATCCATTTTCTTGTATATGTACCAGAAAAAATATTTATTACCTGAAATAACAACAACAAAATCCGATAAAAAGTTACTAATAATGAAGAATGTGAAATAGCAAATTTGATTCATCTGTTCTTTATTTTAGTTTTTTCATAGGCGTTTCATTCCTATTTTTTTTCTCTATTCAACTATCTGTTGCTATATATTAACATATGACATGCTAATATCATAAGAATTCAGTAATATTCCTTTTAAGAATTATGAAAATGTAAAAATGTACGGGCCACGCAAGTGACTTACTCGAGCATGTCCTTTTTTGATCTTTTCGATAACTTTGAGATTCCACGTTCTGATTTGTGTTGTCTGTGTGTGTATACATTTCTTTATTCAAAAGAACAAAGATAATACATATCTTACGGTCCCTGTTTTACCGATTACTTACCAATATAAATGTTTATTTCACTCGTGCCCTTTCGAGTACCTGTCGGGATTACTAGGAGTACACGTAAATGTTAAGATTCCTTTCTTCTTTTAAAAAATGTTTTATGAGAATTTGTCCTTCTTTTCTCTCTCTCTCTGTACATTTTTCTCGTGAGTATTTTCTTAGTAGGTACTAAAATTAGAAACTTATGGTTCCTATCAACTTACCAAAACCAGGTCGATCTTGTGCAAGTGGGTCTTCTTCCTCAAAACACGTCCTAGTATTTTCTTTAATATATAATAATTGCGTATATACTAGCTAGTATTTGTTCAAAGAGAATTTCTTTACCAAGATTAATCAAAACCTTTTAACTATAATATTATATATAAATAAATATTAAAGATCTCATGATGATTTATAAATCTAGAAAGCATCTAATATTATAGCATTTCAAGATCGTTTTGCAAAGGGGTTTATAAATTTTAAATATGGAAAGGGAGTACACTTAATTTTTCTCAACGAACGGAAATTAAACAGCTCAAGAGAAGAAAAGATGGCTATTTGGTAAAATACAATGGCAATCCATATATCTAATGACATATCTATATGTACATGTGTGTATGTGTGCGTATATGAATGTGTGTACGTATGTGGACAGTGGACCCATATCTCTTAATGGCATCTGTTAAAGCTGTAAAGCTTTTGCAGCTTAAGAACATCAATATTATGACTTATGAGGATGGAGAAGCATGGAGGAACCTTATCTCTTTAATTATTATTTTTCTTTTTCGAATCTCTTTAATTCTTCAATTCAATTTATTACAACTGGTTTCGTTTTATTTCTTTTTAATTTTTAGGGTTTTTGCATATCTACCTCCTCGGGGGCACAAATGAATATGATGCATCTCAAATCTTCTTTTTTTTTTTAATTTTAATTATTTTATCCCCTCTCATCTCTCTTCTTCACCATCTTCTATATAAATCGAGAGCAAGTGAGTCCTCTAGTATTCATAATTTACCAAACAAAACACATGTATATACCTCCTCTTTCATCGCTATTGTTATCTTCAAGAAGAAAAATATCAGATAAATATGGTTTTCACATATACATTTTTGTTGGTATGTGAATTTTATATATACATGTGTGTAGAGTGGAACGCGTATGTGACCAAAGTAGTGTGCAGCCAAGGATGACTTGCCGATTTAAATTTATATTTTTATTCTCTCTTAAAACATTTTCTGATTTTCAAATGCCCTGGTTCTTGAAGAAGGTAAGAACAAAGTAGATATCTATTTCGTATTAGAAAACAAAATAAATTACAAAGAAACAAAAAGAAAAATATGATCGGCAAGTTGTCCTTGGCTACATATTTCTTTGTGTCGCGCATAGGTAATCACTGTGGTAAGATCACAAGAACTCAAGCTATGGAACAAAGCCGAACGAGGTAATTACTGTCCACATTCAAAAAAAAAAAAATAATTACGGTCCACAAATTTTTGTTTTCTTAATATCCGTTTATAGTAATACTTTTATCTTCAAAAAATCGAACAAAAGGGTTGTAGAATTGGTTAAATGCCCACAAATATATTATTGGGTCTACATTTATGCTATCATTTTCTTTAATAAATGAAGGATCTTGTATCGTAAAGTCAAGATTATAATCTCTAATAGTCTTTATTATAGGTGGAAGACTCAAATATTTTTTATTATTTAAAAAGGCCATGAGAACCACTTAAACTCCAAATCGTCGATCGTAAAAACACAAGTATGTTTATTTTTGTCTCGTTGGCTACTACGGGTTTGAATTCGTTTGTGAAATGATGAATGTGGATTAAATGATAGTTTTACATATTACACTTTACACTTATCTATATACACATGTATCTATCAATGCAATACGTGTTTCTCATAATATTATCATATATAGACATGTATTTATACATATATTGTTCGGTATATTTTTGTTTTAAAAATTTCAGTAATAGCTACGAGTAAGAAGGTAATTAATAGCTTTTAGTTTTTACTCACGCCAAATCAATAATTAAAAAAACAATGGAGAAAACTAATTAAATCGCAATTAGAGAAAAAAACGAGGGAAAACAACTTTGTCTAATTAAACAGGAAGCGATTCTTTTTTTTTTTTCGATTCCTGAAACTTTTTAAGGTTGAATACAAAGTACTCTTTCGAAAGGAAAAAAGAATGCAAATAATCTTATAATTATTTATACCCCTTAAAATAAATAAAATGTATACATTAAGTAGACGAAGAAAAAGAAACCGTAACTGCGTCGAATCGCATCGTCACAACACACGCGCGCGTGAACCTTCCCCTTGTCTTCTTTTTTGTTTGTTTGTTTGTTTAACTTTGACCTCAGGCGTCAACGATTTGGTCACCGAAGCCGAAGGGCGATATCGATGATAAGAGTAACTGTGTCGCGCTTGCTTGCGGTGAAATGTAACCTCTCAGGTGATTTAGGGTTTATTTCGATCTATGTTTGTTTTTCTTCTCTTCGAGATTTTGCCTTTGTCTTCTAGTTTTTCATTTAGGGTTTTGCGAATCCGATTAATTGGTCGATGTAACAGTTTCAAACTCCGATTTCTATGTTTTCCAACAAAATCAATATGTGTAATCTGTAGGTGATGGGATCAACAGTTTGAATCTCTTATTCGCTAGTGTGGTCTCTTCAGGGTTTTATTATTAGTTACATAAACGTGAACATAATTAGAGATTAATTTTGCAGTTTACAGTAGCAATGTGCTACTCATCGATTTGATCGAGGTGACTCGAAGGATCCACAGGCGATTCGGGAGGATATGTGAGAGGTAATAGAGTTAACAAATTCTACTTAAATCTTTGAGATTAGTTCTTATCTGAAATGACTGTGCAAATTGAACAACAGGGCTCTTGTGTGTGTAGAAATCAGGATGAGAGAATTAAGTAAGCTAATTTTTTTTGTTTACCATACTCTTAGAGAAACAACAGTTAGTTGATGTTGTATGTGTTAGATAAAAGTATACGTTAAATGAGATTAGGAAAGGGTTAATTAGTCACGTAATACACTCACTTGTGGGGGAAGTAGAATTTTACATATATATCAAATAAATAAAAAACTTTGTGGGAAAGTGAGGTTGTGAGGTTTAAATAGTGTATGGTGTAGGTAATGGCAGGCCCTTGACGATGCCACAGAGATTGGTGTTGAGTGGGATGTTGTATTCGTCTCTTAGTGATTTCTCAGGTGAGAGAACACTGACGTACATTTGCTGGCCCAAGTATCTCCTCTCCCAGTTCTCTGATCTGATGTTCCACATACCGGCATTGTCGAATGTCAACAAGATCGCTGACCACGACTTTGGGAACACTTGCACGGTGTGTCTGCTTACCGCATCCAGCAAGTTGTAGTTCTTTCTCTTCTCTGGTGTCCATCTTCCTGGCTCAGAACTGTTTCAAAGAGAACAAGTGTTAAAGAAAAGATGCATGGGACCTATAAAGTAGTATACAAGAAGCAAGCAAGGTTTTGAGAATGTTGGAGCTTACGCGACGTTGAAGAAGGAGTAACCGTCCAAG